ACCATGATCTTCAAATTTATGTGCTCTCAGAGGCACTTGGAATAGGCAGCATATATTCCATGAGGAAAGCAATAGGACAATTTTATGATTCTTACGACCATCATCCATGTCCCTTATAACATTTTACTCGGTTTCTTGGAAACAACATGTACAACTTGATTTTGATGAAGACAGAGCCATGAATTTTGTAAGGATTTTGTGGAGGTAAAGGATATTTTGACAGGCTATGGACCTTAGTTCTTTAGTTCACTTTGTATAGTTAGACTGCTACCCTGTATAAAATATTTAGTTTAAAAAACAGGCTGGAAATCATTATACTACTATATCAGGAATACAAGCTTCAGTGTAGCAATGTGCAACACCCAGAGTACTGTACATCTATAAAATCAGAAAAAAAATTATGCTTTATTGTCTTCAAAGAATAAAAGCTATTTCTGCAAATTATAGCTATCTATGGGATGGGGATATTGCTAAGGCACATGATGTCATTAAACTGGATTAAGTGTCTGAGAACATCATGACAGTTTTTGTCACAAAACAAGTTTTGTGTCTGGAGTTCTGTTTAGCCTAGTCAAAGGAGTCACAATTAGTTTGACCAAAGCAGAGGTCTACAATCATGTCTGTAGTGAATGGCAAGAGACAGGGATTTCTAGTGAACCATTTGTCTCTCTTTTAAGTATATTTCTGAAGCAGGCTAGATGAATTGTATTCTAAATGCCTGCTAAGTTCTCTCCACCTATTACAAAGGGAGTTTACAATGACTAGCTCAGGGCATTGATTCACTACAGACATTTTCCAGCAAGTAGAACTCACATGTAAGTGATGGTTTTGAGACATAAACTGAAAATGTAGCACAGAGGTTTTGGTCATACTACAATACCCACAGTCAAAGAGATAGTGAGAATGATGAAGAATGTTGCTACCATCTTTGACTAGTCTGGTAAAACCAACTCTCTCCTTCTGACAAAGACATTTATAATACTATTCCCATCTCCTATGCCTCTATATTTTAATTATGCTGAAGAACTCTTCATCACAATTGGTTGTAGAAATCTGATGAACCAAATGGTCTGTAGGCCGGGCAAGTTCTTAGACCACTTGGCAGGCTCTTCCAGTTAGATAATTCTTGTTTTAAAGTCTCCATTTTGAAATCTTTACAAAGCCATCCCAAAAGTGTAACTCATTCTAATTCTTTGGTATTATGAACAGAAAGAAGCAAGTTTGGCAACATTTACTGTTGCAGGACTGTTTCTCTGACATCCTTCAGGTGCAAGTGAACAGTTCTGATCTGCTGTTTTCCTTGAGATCACAATGATAAATAATTCAAAAGAGTAACACTATATATGGCATAAATTGAAAGACAGGGAGCTTTCTTTTCATTTTGCAAGTTATTCTTTGTCTGACTAAGCATGGATTAATTCAGAAGTACTGAAGACCCTTTAAAGTTTATCAGAAACTAACAGAAGAAACCCAAGCACTTGTCTTATGACAAGGAATAAGTCTATGCACAGAGGCACACTTTTCTCCTACCCATCTATCAGCTTAGAAAGAAAAAATAGAGATGTATAGAAAAGTATAAAGAAATAAACATTTTTATTGTTTAATGGGAGTCATGGGCACCATCAGCCAGTTTTGTTTTGTTTTGTTTTTTTTCCTGGGTCCATGCTTCTTTAAGCACCATAAATAACATGTAGCCTGTGAATAACATTTGATTAACAGTAAAAGAAACATTAAATTCTTATTTTACCATCTGCAAACATTTATAAGTAAAGGTAGTATATATTTCCCTGACAAGCATATTTTCAAGTCTTTTATTTCAGTATTACCATTTTGTTTGTAGATAATATCATCAATAAACTAGGCAAAGGTCAACATTGTATATGATGAGAACCTAAAAGTTTCATAATAAGTACAATGATGTTTAATATTCTGGTCACATGCACTTGACACCAGCTATAGTTACTTCTAAGAAGCATACACGAATTGCGTAATGTAATGTGCCTGAGACAAACTGGGTCTCACAGAGCCTTAAATATATTTTAACTAAAGGTATTGCCCCGCGTAAAGAAGAAAAATGGAAGCATCACTAAAAAAAAAAATCACTATCTTACTTAAACACCAGTAAGTCCTAATCTTCCACTTCCCCCCACAAGTTTCCTGGTCAGATAATTAGATTCCATCTACTAAAAAAAGATTTATTTCAAGCAACCAGTCACTCTCCCTTAATTCATAAAGATGTGTCCCAAAGAATTTTTGTACTGTTCTACCAATATAATACAACTGGACTGACAAAGAGCAAATCCTTTGCATTAATTTAGTGTCATGTTGAATGAATAACATCTAGAGGCATCTATAATATGTTCAATATTTATCAATGTTTTAATACATAGGAATTTGCTTTAAAAATATGTATTTATTTTTAAATGCTATATTAAAACACTCTACCATATGTTAAAATGCCTTAAGATCTAAAATAATATTCAAACATTACATGTTCGCTGCCAACATCTGAAAGCACCACAGAAAACTAAAAGGAAACTTACTGGCTTTGCCATTTGAAATGAAAGATTCTTGAAATGGCAAAAAAGGTTTTGACTTTTAGCCTTTTCTGACAGTGTCGGCAATTTTTATTCATTTCCCTTCCTGCAAATGTTGTTCAAAAATAGAATATAAAAAGCAGAAATATTTTTGTTTTGTAAGGGGTGAAGGAGTTAGGTATAAGAGACTAGGACCCTATAGAGTTAAAAGCTTGAAGGATATGATGATATCAACAAATAAAATAATTAGCTGCAGATAACATTTTCCTTATTAAATAATTTGTTTCTAAAGCCAAAACACTTTTCTTCTGTATCCTGCTCACACTTATACTATTGCTCTAGTGAACTATTTTAAAAACTAAACTATTCACTTGAGTTCAAGGTAAAACAAGTACTATAGACAACAGTATAGAATACACAATTCTTAGAAAAATGCTTTATCTGAAATATTTTTGAGAGTTTGCATGGCTGCCTTAATTTATTCTATAAACGTTTTTCCTGGTTTCATTACATATCTTTTATTCATGTACTATATGTGGATAAAAAGAAAAACTATTTTATTTTCCCCTTCTTTTATCACCTACTATATCAAAAGTCAAGCTTTGTACAAACAGCAATATAATCTCATTTATGGCACATAATTTATCTCTGCCCTTGTAAGACCACATCTTGAGTATTGTGTCCAGTTCTGGGCTTCCCAGTTCAAGAGGGACAGGGATATGCTGGAAAGAGTCCAACAGAGAGCTACGAGGATGATTAAGGAACTGGAACAATTGTCATACGAAGAAAGGCTAAGAGAGCTGGGGCTGTTTAGTCTTGAGAAAAGAAGACTGAAAGGAGACATTATTAATGTCTATAAATATCTGAAAGGTGGATGTCAGGACTGAGCCAGTCTCTTTTTAGTGGTGTTCTGTGATAGGACAAGGGGAAACAGCACCAAGCTACAACACAGGAAGTTCCACTTCAACACAAGGGAAAAATTCTTTACTGTGAGGCCGACGGAGCACTGGAACAGGCTGCCCAGAGAGGTTGTGGAGTCTCCTCTGGAGACTTTCAACATTCGTCTGGATGCGTTCTTGTGTGATCTGCATGATCTGCCCTAGGTTTCCTGCTGCAGCAGGGGGGTTTGACCTGATGATCTTCAGAAGTATCTTCCAATCCCTACGATTCTATCATTTTATGATTTTATTGTATTAATCAAAATATCGTTAAAAAGTTGTATTTTGAGGCAGTCTAACCAATACTTATTGAAGTTTTTACAGATTTATTCTGTAGTACCACAGTACTTTTCTGAACTAAGAGCCAATTATTCATTTTTTTATAAAATATTAATTAAATAATACAAATGCAACTGTCACAACAAAGAATAATATACCAGCAAGTTGAATGACCCAAAATATTTTCTTCTTTGTGTGGAATCAAAATTCCAAATCTCTATTTTCTAGTTGTTAGAATTGAAAACCATTTATAATACACATATATACATACACAAAAGTTTTAGAAATGCCAGATTAACATAGTGATAGTTTGAATTGATGTAACAAGTAGTTTCACATAATGCTCCCAGAACAACATTGAGAAATGTAAGTTGCATTATTACTGAAGTAGGAGGTTAACAATTTCTCTGCTTTATAAACAGGATGCAACTTTAAGTCTTTTAGGCTTTTTATAAATAAATTTTTTCACACATTGAGAGTTTTCAAAATTATACCAAGAACATTTTCATCAGATTACTTTTTTAGCCTGTATTTGCAGCACAGTGCATACAAATAAATGGTACATGCAAACTTGGCTGAAGTTACATTCTGATAATTCTCTCCTTTTTATGCAATGAACTCTGAAAAACATACTTCCTACATCATGTAGTATCTATTAAAACAAACAACAAACAGAACAAATCAGGCCCAAAACATGTAATAGTTGCTTTGGTCACAAAAGCAGTTTCCTTCAGGAAAAGCACAGCATGGCACATTAACTAACAGGCATAAAATAATTCACAATACATACAATATCAGAGGTCTACATACCATCGAGAAGGCAAGAAAAAAAGTGAGAAAGGAAGGCAGAAGAACAGAAAAAGATATGGGGAAAGGGAATACCACAAAAGTACTACATACTTTTCGTGGTATTCAATATTTTTGAGATAGGCCTGATTTTATTTTTATGGACCTATAATTTTAGCAGAATAACCACAAACCAAAAAGCATTTAGAATTTTCTACATCCATTTCCTCCTTCTGACTGCTTTATTTTTTTAAAAAAATATATTTCAAAATAATAAAGTTAATAAATGGTGGGAGAAATACAGGCAGGAAGTTAAAATTTTAAAGGTATCACCAGGTCTGATCTCCATGTAACCTGAGGCGTATACTTATTTATCAACAATTACATCACAGTTAGTTCTTGAATTACATTACATTAAATAAGAACACCCAAACAGGTTAGGAGATGATGTTAATATTACCTTTGTAAAATGAGTGGGCAAAGCTCTGCTCAGGAATTAACTTGGCAAGGAATCCATGGTTCAAACTTGGGTGAGGGATAGATGGTATGACCACAACTGTGGAGAAAATCATGGAATCAAATGTGAGCCAGCGAGTATTCATTTATGGCCTGGTCCACTGTGGATCCATGACAGATATCCTATCTCATTGAAACATGCAGATATGGGATTATCAACAAAAAATGCATTTCTAAAGGAAAAAGGCAAGTTCTGTATCAAGAGATAGGAAAGAGAATACCTATTAATTGGGCATTTCAAGAGCAACATTAATGGGGAAAAAGAGACAGAGATACATATATACACACAGGCAAGACAATCATGGGTGAAACAGTTCATTGAAAGTAGCAGTTTCATCGTGCAGAACCATAACATGTAGCCAAGAAGGCACAGAAAAATAACGATTTCTCATAATTGACTAGATTTATGTAATATATTTACAATGGGAAGTACAAACACATGGACTTTAAATATTATGTACAAGTAGCAAATTAAAACATGACAAATCAGAAAGTAATGACTAAATGTAAACATGACAGAAATGTGAAAACAAAATCTATGAAAAATTAAAATCAGCAACTCCATTAGTGAATAAAGTAATTAAAAATCAATACAAGAAGAAAAACATAAAAACATACATAAAGAGCTTCATGGACAAATTAAGTTACTGTTTTCAGCTACTTTAATACAAAAGGTAGAGTTACAATCAATCCAACCAGACTTCAAGAAATTTGTTGAACTGGCAGTGTAAGATATTTGAAACCAAGCAGGGTAAAGTTTGGATCCCCAGTTTCTGACAGGTTCTGACAGCTAACAGACTACCTCCCACTCAGGCAAGAACACATGCTAGTAAAAACCACTACTACTAATAAAAATCACAAACAGTTCAGTCAAAGAAGGCAATACAAATGGTTCCTTTTTATTATATTGTCTCCATTGGCTTTTAAATGCAGGCACCATCACAGCAGGACTTCAAGAAAATACTCCACCACTAGCTTTGCAAAAACCTGCTCATTCAAACAAAAGTACTTCACATGGGCAAACAGCTGTGTTTGCTGAGTTAAAGATATGTGTTCTTACTAACAAATAACAGATTCAGGAAGTCATGCTGATCAACTGTCTTGTACTTTACAGCTTTAACTCTCTTAGGCACCCTGTTTCTTTTTAATTATTTTCAAATTAAAGAACAAAAAACAACAAACCAAGTATAAAAAAGCAATACCAAAATAAGAATTAGTTAAACCTGATAAGCAAATATCTAGAATAACTGAAATCTGCCAATGTAAGTTGAAGGACCAAATTATTATAAAGGAAGAAAACAGCCAGTAATTCTCTATTAGGATCTTATACTATTTACTAAAAGGATGTTGTAGTAAAATAAATACAGTTCTAAAAAAAATCTGCATATCAAAATGAAAAATAACATTTGACGAAAACAAATGTACCTGTACTTGTTGGTGAATTTATTTCTTGTCTGATATTTCTACCTGCCTGGCTCCCAGATCTTGCAGTTTCTCGTTGTGGCTCCAGTATATCACGGTATTTGGAGACCATCAGAACAGAAATAAAGTACACTACTGCCAGAGCTAAGAACTGAGCCTGTTTGCTGTCATCCTGTGTTGAAGAAAAAGGAAGAGATCACAATATTGGAGATTTCCGTAGAATTTTTACACAAGATTGTCACAAGGATTTATAAATAATAACTCTTAGAAACGTTACATCTGTTAACATAGTAGTAACCAGATTATGTAGAAGATTAAATGGATTTTCAGTAGAGTACTATGCATCCAGCATGTTTTAAGTACCATCTCACAGGTAATTTGTCTACTACACAAATCTCTGGGACTGTGGACTCAATGGGCTTTTCTGTCTAGAGGCCTGATTCTGCTCTGAAGGTGCTTTCAAGGCTTCTCAACAACAAGGACAACTGACTTCTGCTGCCCCAAGGATACACCTCCGAAAGTTCCTGCCACAAGAAGGTAAGGGGTACTACTGTTGAGAGGGAAAACTAAGCTCATTGATGCTTTCTAACATCGGATGCATAAGCAGGTGCAGCAGCTTCTGGTAGTATGTAAAAACTGGGATATGACCATTATTTTTCTTCCAGCAATAAATCCCAGCTCATACGACCTGACTTCTCCTTTAACAGGATTGTCAGCAGCAATACCAGTTTTCCAGGTATCTCATTTAAGTAAATACCAGGACCACAAAAACTTGGCTGTCTCCTTTTCCTCCCACCCCGCACTGTCTGCTGTTCTATTGCATTTACCATCTGCAGCTTAGATATCATCCTGATTGAGCTTAAGTTGCGGTAGTTCAACTGAAATATATTCCATTATTATTATGGTGTAAAATCCAACACAGTAGAATTCAGACTTTGGCCTCTTATCTACTCCTACAGTGGTTTCACCTTGTTTCAATTCCACAAGTAAGCATTTTCTAGTACAAATCCAGGGCTTGCTTTCCCTGCTTTCTGGGTGTTATTTAATTTGGCTGTGTGACTTTGCCATTATCAATCTAACTAGAAACCCGCTTATTGTTCTTTCATAGAAATGACAGAAACAGATTTCCACTATTTCTTTCTCCTTTAGTTAAGAGTGACAGATCTCCATCCAAGTTCAACCTTGCCCTTTCAAGGTCATCAGATCTTCCTGTCAGATAACTTTTTGTGTGTGTCAAGTCCTACTTTTTAATCTTTAAAGCTACTTTTAACCTCAGTCTTTACTTCAATTCACTTGAACTTAGGTTGGAGAGGCTTAAGCATTACATATCTATGTGTGTATATATAATAATAACAACAACAACAATAATAATAACAGCAACAACAACAATAATAATTTCTATTGTACTGGTTTAAAAAAAAAGCACATTGTGACAGTGTTGTGCTAAAAAGAAGTTAGCAGAAGTTAAAGTTGGCTTTATATATCAACTGCAGTGCTGTCATGCATTAAATAATTCTTCCTCCTACACTATTCTTCCCCCTATCCTGGTTGGACAAATAGCTGATACCTCTAGTAATAAAGTTTCAATCAATAGGTGAAAACTCATTCATTCTCCCTTGATTATTTGGCTAATATAAGATCAATCTGGCTGTTAAACACAGTTAGCTACTAATCTCAAATAGCTTCCAAGTATGATTTTAAAGTGCAGAAAGCGGCTGGTAGTTACAAAGCCACAAGCAGATGGTTTGCAGATAATATAGAAGTGCAACACATGAAGGATATTTTTAATTTCAGAACAATCAAATTCTCTTTCAAAATACAAGTGATGATTTTGCAGAAGAAAGAATTACAGCACATATTACTCACCACATCACGAAAAACAACTGCTCGTAGACGATTAATATCAACATCCTGAAGAAGCCTATCAGGGTCTTTTATAGGAGAAAGATTGCCAGGGACATTTTCAAGGGGAGTCTGAAAATAAAAAGTAGTGAGGCCCTTTTTCCCCAAAATATCAAAGCATTTCTGGTATAACCTTATTTTGATACCTTTTTAAAGATATTGTATAAATCTTAGATTTATTTTCTAGTACCAATATACTTCTAAGATAATACTTAGACAAGAATTCTAGAAATAAAGCAATCTTTGAATTATTGTCTACTACTACTTATTTAGTTATAAATTGTTACATCTTCCAGTGCCTCAAAATAACTTTATCTCTTCACAAAGTTCAGATAATAATTTGCACACATTTCTAATATGTGTATTAAATTTAAAAAACTGTAAGTAGAAATATTTTTTTTAAATTGGTTTATGTTCATTTAACTGTGAATTTTTACAGACTACTTGCAGAATCACTGCTATTATCACAAAAGCATAGAACAGCATGCTTCCTTTAAAAAATGATCACGGATTACAAATGGTGCCGAAACACCTACGAGTCTCTTTATAATGATTTGCTTTGCACTGAATGTGAGAATGTGGAGAAATACAATGTTTTAGTGAGATTTAATGAAACAATATAGTGAAAGAAGCTGAGTTTGTAAATGCTATCTGAAAAACTCTTTTGGGAAGAAAACCCACTAACTTTAATAATGAAAATATAATAGCAAAAAAAGGAATCCTTCACATAATACAAAGTATTGTATTTTAGTCTCAGGCTGTGCTAAATTCTTTGAGATTTTAGTTTCAGGACTCCTGGAGTTTTAAAATTTTAAAGCTGTAAAGAAGGTAAAAAAAAAAGAAAAAAGATGAACTAGAAAAAATAAGCTGGAATGGAATATTAAATACATTATGTCTAATACGCATGCAAAGGTCTGTTCAAGTTACCGGGACTCAGATGTTCCAACAACACAGATGCAATTGCAGGACAGACTGCCCTGACAGATTAAAAAAGCTATGCAGGTATATGTGACAGATGAGAGTAAGGGACTTGCTCTTTGATGTAGACTTAGCAAATGTGAAAAAGCTGTTTAAAATTCCTCCATTCATACTAGTGCATTAATGTTTTCTTGTTTCAAATAACATCCTCCAGATACTTTTACTTTCAGCCAGTTAACAGCAAAAAGCTACGCTTTTGCCAAACATTCGAGGAGGTTGTTACAATTATTTTCTGATCCTATAAAGCAGTGGGACAGACTGGTCATTGCTGTTGGTAACTGAAGACTGGGTTACCTTGGTTGCTGCTGATGCAGTCACACCCTGAAGAGCATCTTGAGTTTTACTGCTGATTAATGACGTCTTGTTCACTCTCTCTCTCTGCCTTTGCCGACATTCTAAGCAGTTTCTCACAGCCACACAACAAACTAAAATGAAGTTATGAAAATGCTACAAATTAGAATATTTTCTCAGCATTATATTCAGAACATCAATTAGCAGTCTGTACACCTAGTTTGACCTGTCAATAAGCACGTCCAAACAGTAAAGTGCAACACAACTGTCACATTAGACTCTTTATCAGTAATAAGAAAGCATAAAGATGATGTAATAATTTAATTATTCAGTTGACCAACTAAATGCTTTATATAACTGCTATATCACTATATTAAAATTTGAAAATTATCAGTCCTTAAACTAGAGCTCTCCTATCTTATTCATCAGTTATCAACATCTAAAATCTGAAGGTACTGAGGTACAGCTAGAATAGAGAAAAAATAGTAGGTGGTAATTTAGAATTTGATGAAAATTGCTCACTGAGAACAAACCACAAGTTTTATTATCAATGACCTAGTAAGTGGTATGAATAATCTTAGACAAAATCTAAGTACAAAACATATTAATTATTTGAGACATTAAAAAGTATGTGGGACATAACATCAGCAAAATAGCATCCTGAGAAATGACAGTTAAAATTTAATCTTCACAAGGATAAAGTGATATGATTTGCATATGATAGCTTGAATTATTCTGAAATTCTTAATTTTCCTAAATTAATTGTAACAATATACAGCAAAAAGTAAACATTGAAGAGAGGTGCCAGACTGTTGCAACTTAATATTTAGGTACACAGAGTTTGCACATGCATACCATGCTTTTAATTTTACATAGCATATAAGTAGTGCTCCAAAAGGAAACCTGAAACAGGCAGGTAGCAAAGCAGTTTTGAGAAAAAATAAATTAAAATCTCTATTTACTTACTTTATGTAATATTTTTACTCCCAAAAATATATACTACTTGGAAGACATTTCATTTTAACTTATTCTTGTGCATAAGTAGAATCAACCTGAAAACGGTATCAAATCAATAATAAACAGAATTTTTGTTTTATCACATCACAGTCAGTACAAGTCCTTTCCTACTTGTGTTGCTATTTGATCCATCTATAGTTCATTGATCCATAAGTATTTAATACATAGTGACTGCTGACTTACCAAGCCTTAGGCACTGTCGCATCAGACCTCCAGAAGACATGTTTTTTTCAGCTTCAATCTCACTAAAATTTAGAGAACTGGCAAACACCAGCACATCAACCATTGCCATCAGACGGCTGAGAAAAGTTACTGCTGTCTCTGCTGACATCCCTTGTGTCACTTCAATATTTTCCAATTCAGTCTTTAAAAGGAGATAATGGAATTAAACAGTTTGAACACAACTGAAATATAAAGACAGCAAATACACACAGAAACCTAAATTGTTATGCTTCATGATGAAAAGTTATTTTAAAATATCCTATCATTACCACTAACAGAAACTCTGACTGAAATTCAAAGTAAGACAGCATGAAGAGGGAGAATATCATTTACATTTACGTGCTGTAAAAGACAAGAAGAAGTCTAATTCAAATGAGAAAGTTATTGGGAGTTACATAAAGTCAAAGTGTGGCCAGATAGTAAAGCAATGCATGGTATATAAGGGTCCAATGTACTCCTACATTCTTCCATAGGCTAAGCAGACAGGTACCAGATGAAGGCAATTACTGACTGTATTGCTTTTATGTTCCTTTAGATAAACAAGTAAATGTGAGGAGTTGAGTGGGAAAAACCAAACAGTTTTGCCCTGTTTTGATGAATTGGTTCTCCCTGGGAATGCTTATACCATACAGGAACCTGATGGAGTCCAATTGCTCTGGAATGAGAGAGAGCACATTTACTCTCTCATGACAGCAAAAGGAGGATAAGTAAAAATATAGCAGACTGGAACATCATTTTTGAAAGCACTCATCCAAAGAAAATACATTTGCAAAAATCTATAGCTGTAACAGTCTGCTAGAAAAACTCATAGGTGTTTACAGAAACTTGAACTTCAAGCTCATGCTTGAAATAACATCAGGCTTGCCAGCAGCCAACTGACTGACTGCTGTTGATTTTTCTCAAGCTTCAACTGTGTTGCATCAATCATAGTCTTAACCCTTCTCAGAGTATCTATTGACTTTATTTTATTTTTGCAAGTAATGGAATGAATTAATTTTTTATAACATTTTAGTGTATTTCACCAAGATTTTTGCAAACTCTGAATTGAAAAAAAATCAACTACTTTTTACAAATCTCACTAAAATTCTGCTGGATGGAATAAAAAAAAAAAAAAGAAGTATTTTTTTTTTTTTTTTTTTTTAACAGCAAAACTTACCACCAGTTCTACTTGTTAAATACTGTTATTCTAATAATGTTTAAAATAAGGTCCATTGTTGACTAAGCTGCTTTCAGGTATTAGTAATATTTAAGCTAGGTGAAGCCCAAAAACTCTTTAAAAAGTGAGATTATAATCATTTCAGGACTCCTCAGCATATTTTCAGAAGTATGCTTCAGAACAAGTCCCCCATATAATTAACACCTTCAGGGCCTAAAGACTTTTTCTATTGACAAACACATTTGTAACTTAAATTATCTCATGTATCTGCCTATATTCAGTTGGGCAGCTAACAGTAAGCTTCTATGGATTAAGTTACTCAAAGGAAATGTTAGAAAAAGTTTATGTTCGCACTCAATATATTCCTATCCACATCCCACTACATGGTATCAGAAAATAATAATACTACTAAAAAAAGCCAAAATATTAAATGATCAAAAATAACGTATTTTTGAAAAGTGCAAAAAAATGAAACTTACAGCAGCAATACTAACCTTAGAACCCTGGACATGCAACAGACAAAACAGACAACAGATTACAACAATAAAAGAAAAAGAAAATTAATTAAGTTAACTAAAAATACAATGTAAAATTGAAACAAATTAGTATATTGGAATTATACATTTGTTTAATTTATAATTAGGACAGCAAAACATTTCAGCTCAGCATGAACACTTTAAAATAAAGACTTCTAAGAGACAGCTATGCACAGGGAAAGGAAAACTGTAAATCTTGTATTATTATGGCCTTCATGTAAACACTGATTCTTCCAAACCAATTTACATCTTTTATATAGGACACAGAGAAATTTTATGAAGCAATGTAATGTTTTCACTGATTACACAGAAACAAAATGAGCATTTTAGAACAAGCCATTTAACTGAAATATAATAAAGTAGTTAAGCTTTGTATGAGGAGGTAAATATGTTTAAATGCTTTGACAAAACAAACATAAATCACAAAAAGCAAACTGGTTTTTCATACATAATGCCCCTTCCTTTAAAGCAACTTTTAACTCTTTATATATTACATCTGGGTATGATTTCTTCAACCTAAACTAATATCATACTGGATATCTGAATGCTTTTGAACCACAGGAAAAAAGTAAAGATTCACTAAGACCCTGGGACTGAGTTAGTCTTCAAATTTCAATGTTTGTGATTAAACAGATATGTGAAATGTTTAAGTTCTAACTTCACGTAGAAGCACTTTCTCCTATCACAGAGGACTAGTTTTCCCTGGTTATGTTTTAAAAAGAGATTTTCAAGAGTATGTCAATATTTTGCCATTTAAATAATAAAAAAAGTCTTATCTAACAGAAAGAAAAACATACTGAAACAACTGCTTTCTTTCCCTTTTGAACAGAAAATATCATGTTGAACAAGTTCTTAAATGTCTTCCTCTTTTTTAGCTGGATAGATTGGCAATTTTTACTTCAGTGCACCACTGTTGATTCTCAGAATTGTTATAGATCACACAGGACCTGTGGCATCACATTATGAACTTGATAATGCTAACACAAAACCACAGAAAAATATCTCATCTTGGTTTTTAGACATCAGAGCTAATGACACTGCCTTTAAATGTTTAATTGGGTTTTGTAGACAGCCATTCATATAACACCAGCAGCCCTCAGATCACAATTGCAGAACTGCTGTCGTAAATGCTGCAAGTGAAAACTAGAATTATAGACCTCATAGACTAAGTAAAAAAACGAACTAGTTGCAAGGAGTCTGGAAATCTCTCGTTCATCACCTGTATTCCAGCTCTTCAGATTTCTTTTGCCTTACTTCATGCCCTCAAGTCCTTGTCACAGCTGCTACCCTTGTAGTAAGCAACTATTACTTCAAGTTCCTAGCTTGTATATGAAGTGTTTTCTCTGACAACCATCTGCTATTAACAGAAAGCAACTCTGCAAACATTTTTCCTTACAACTTCCCAAATACGCTTTTTTCAAACTTATACAACATCTTAAAAATGTCTTTCTTATAGCTGTAATTAAAAAGTCTCAAAGACCTCCCCCATGGAAAGAAAAAAACACACAACAAAAAAACCCCAGAATTTGAAGCACATCTTTGTACAGTCCCTGAGACAGAAGTGGTAGAGAACTGATATAAAGGGAAATATTAAAACATGTAGAAAGAGACTACTGCGATTTACAGTAAATTTTCACCTGTATTCCACACAAATGTATAATCTTTATTTCAGTCACCCTCAGAATCTTTTGCACAAAACAAAAAAAATATTTGCAATTCCTCCAATATTCTGAGTGCAATTTTGCTACATTTCTCCCTTGGTTCTTTTCTGCTTATAGCTTTAATTAATTCAAGCATCCAATATTCAGCCTCTATTCTAATGAGAAATAGGTGAAATGCCTTTAAAAATAAGAGGCAATGGGACACGTAATAACAACTAACTCTACAGCAGACTGTTGAAATGAGTGTTTTGTAACAGACATTTAAGATTGTTAAAGAACCAGCAGCCCAGGATGAGGCCTCACATGAACTCAAGACTGACATAGCGAAGTAGAGGAACTGTGGAGGAGTGTGAGCATGATAAAGGAACTATGTATTGCAGTCTGTCATCTTCTCCATTAGAAAAAAAAAAAAAAAAAAAGCTACCTCATTAAAAGAGGCTGGAATCAGCTCCAGGTTAACAAAAAGTGCAATAGATGTATCCTACAGGGACATGGCTGACCAGCCACTAAATGTCCACATTGTAGACGATCATTTGCTTCTATTGAGCAGATCCCCTTTTGGCTAGAAATCTAGTCCACATGTAAGTGCTTCAGGTGGATACCTAAATTTACCTTAATCTCCTCCTGAATTCCATCCTGTGTTATGACCCTGAAGTAAAAGGGGATAATGGCCTTTACTGTCTGTTGCCTTTTAGCTCTCATATTTCATTATTCCAGACCAAAGTGTAAACTAGTTTTAGAACTAAATGTAAATACATGTCCTATGCCACAAATACAACAGACTAGGAGGAAATAAGTAAGAACTACTGGTTTAAAATTTCAATATGGGTCCAAAGGCCTTAATTGGGAATATTTGAGAGTCACCTTTCATGAAAGTGAAAAATGAGCAAATGAAGTAAAATGAACTCATAACTGTTGATAAATTGAGTACCTGTATTCTACAAGAGCTACAAAACATGAGGGCTTTGAAACCCCAGAAAAGTTCCAAATAGACCTGGGTGATCAGAGGTTTCCAAAGACAGACTAACCAAGACAAAGACTCTACATGGATTCAAACAGGCACACCAGGAGGTATGACTCAAGCCTACAGAGTCATAAATGGTATGATTATTAAAGACATGATTAAACACTCCTCTCATAGCATAAATAGTAAGGCACATAGTGACTTTATGCATTTAAGCAGGCTTAAAAAAACAAAGACAAGAAGTGCTTCAAAGGTCACATAATTACTTTGTCAGACTCAGTGCCATAGGATATTATGGAGGCTAAAAGCATAAGCAGCTTCCTAATGATTAGATAAAGTCTAGAAGGATAAATTCTTCAGTAATTATTAAACATGACAGCCCAAACGCCCTCTCTAGCTGTTAAAATCCTAAATGCTGAGATGAAGTATCATTAGAGCAATCAATATGCTTGCTCAGACTTCTGCATTTTGATGTAAGCAGCAGTCACTGGTGGAGGCAGAATGCTAAACCAACTGGGTCCTTGGGCTGACCCAGCAAGGCAGCTCAAGTCACACGTGAACAGCTCACTTTTGTAAGAGTAGAGCAGTACTGTTTGAGTGGACTCATACTACCATGTCCAGTTTAAACTACAGAATCACAAAATGGCACAGAATCACAGAATGGTTGAGGTTGGAAGGGATTAATGAGATGCAACACAAAATATGGACTGTATAGCTTCTGGAAAAATAAATACATTATTATTATTAATGTAATTGCCTAAACACAGCAGGTTCCATTTGAAAATCGACAAACATTTTTTTACTATGAGGGTGTCAGAGCACTGGCACATGTTGCCCAGGGAGGTTATAGAGTCTCCATCCTTGGAGATACTCAAAGCCATCTGAACACAGTCCTGGGTAACTTGCTCTAGGTAGCCCTGCTTCAGCTGGGGGTAAGATTGGACCAGATGACCTCCAGAGGTAAGTTCCAGCCTCAACCAATCTGTGACTCTGAGATTCTTTAAATTGGTGAGGGAAAAGCGTATAGATTCTTTCCTCCCTTGAGAGTTACTTTGGCAGAAAATGCCATTAGAAAGCTTGCTGTGAGTGTTTTTATGCAATGGAGACATTATGCAAATCTTCATGTTTCAGACCTCTTCTCTCTTTCACTTATCAGCTTTTGGAAGAAGATGAGTGGTATGGTCTCTCTTTCTCCATAGCAGAACAATACTTAGGGAGATTTCCTTCTCTAAGAAGGACGAAGGATGTCATGGCCTCCTTGTAGCTGTCACAATGATGAATAAATGATTAATAAATCCACCTTCCTGCTAATGTTTATGGAAGGACAATGACAAAAGACAAATGGAGTTGAATGGGGGAGAAGCAACTCCCTGCTAGGTGGAAGTGATTCATATAGAGGACAATGGTTATTTCCAGGTAGAGTTAATTTGTGATTCTATCAATTACTTCTTCCCACCTGCCCTGTACATGTGGGACAAAAGTAATCACTTCTTAAATTTCACAGAGTAGGATTCATTCAGTTTGAAACCAGCTACTGATGTTCAAATTAATTAGTTTATTTCACAATTTATTTTTGTTTTATTACTATAAACAAATAGCAAAATCAAGCATTTAAGTAATACACAGAGTCCCCATGTAGTGGAGAAATGCATGCATAATACACACATTTGAAGATGTAGTCTTTTGTATCAATTCATGAAAATCACTGTTACTGTAGCAAGGCAGTATCAACACAATATTTTAACAAATGGATGTGTAATTTATAAAGCTGTATCAGCAATCTCTCTATATACACACACAGAGATGCATTTGTTATCCAAAATAGAGGGAAATAATGAATTGCAAAATTATTATTCTATATAACAGATCTGCAGTGTCATAAACCAGGATAAAAACTAAAAACCACCTAGATCATTCAATGGAATTGCAGCCTAATACTGTGTCTGTTTTATATTTTTATACAAATGATGGTAAAAAGAACACCTTTATTTTCAAATTATGTCTAAAATGTTTGTTTGGCAAATATATGTTTTTAAAGTCCTTTTATCTAAAGACTGATAGCACAGCCTGTATCTTAAGATGGCTTGGTGTGCACTCACTCATCTTTGTCAGTATTTACAATTTAACACTTCCAAAATCTTTTATTCAGCAAGCTTGATGTCATTCTTGTGTCTTTCCTGTGAGTTTCGCATTTTTGCTTATAGTAAATATTTTTCCAGTTAATACTGTGAAAATAGGAAAGACACAGCTTTTAACCATAAATTGCCCAGGTGAAAGTCATATTAATGTTGAGCAACCATACATTCCTACTTTTCTAATAAAATAATGCAAACCAGTTCTTTCACCAGCTCACTAGAATAGTAGAGGCAAAGTAACCTCTGTTGCTGAACAAGGAATTGAGTTTTCACTGCTGAACTCCATTTGTAGCTTCCACTGCCCACTAGCCACATTACTTCAGAGGAGTCTTTCTACTTTCTCAGGCTCATTTTCTCCGCTTTCAAAGAGGAATAATAACTGCAAATGCTTACAGAATGTTGAAAGAAATATTTACAGATATCATATGCACAGACAAGGCATCACATTAAAATTTTGTTATTCTTATGGACAATAATGCAGTATTTCTCCCCTTTTCATGAAGCATTCTATTAGGCTACTCTGCATGCCTGAACTGTGACCACCTAAGAAATCAGCGCTTTCTAAGAACATCAAAGGGGATAAAAGTACCTGCCTATTTCAATACAAGATTTAAAAAGAAAAAAAAAAAAAAAAAAAAAAAAGGTCAGGAAGGCAGAAGTAAACAGAGTAGTGAGGGGATGACTTCTTGTATCATTTGGCATGCAAACAAATGGTGGCCATGCAAAACAGATTTATGAAAATCAATGACTAGCCATCATAAAGCATGTAATTTTGTTACATTAATAATAATCTGCAACCATGATCCTAATGGTCTTCTCCTTCAAACAAAATATTAAATATCTATTAAATATTATTACTAAGTAATACTTTTCAAATAAAATTAGCATTTCAAATTCAAATTATTATAAACTCTCTGCATATCAAAGCTTACGGTTTTAATTATATATTGGATTTTTTTGAAGGAATTAGCAGAGAGCAGCAGGATTCCCTAAAGAGGAAAAGTCAGCTACAAACAGTAATTTGTATTAGTAAAAACAATTTCTAATATGACCACTAGGTGGAAATATTGTACTTACAGTTGGGGACGTGGCTGCTGACAGCAATGGTAAAATTCCTCCACAAGCAATAATAATATTGTCTACCATCTGGGAAATGAGGTGTATTGTGTTGTGTACAAAAATAATATTTTCATTGCTATTGACAAAGTCCATCACAGACTTTGTGGAGTGACTGCAAGAACAGAAGAAAGGATGGATTAAAAAAAATAGCCAAAATAAAAGTTGAGAGAAATTTATTCTTCATGACCAGCCTGTGAACCCTTCTTTGATATAAAGGCAAAAATCTTGTGTACAAAACTTTTCATGTAAATTGTCTAAAGATATGAACTGGACTAGTCTATTGAACAAATTGGTTGATATAAATTTTCACACCAGTATTAGTATCAGATACCCAGCTGAGAACAACAGCTCATAATCTTTTATCCCCATCAACCAGTTCTGCTGAAAGCAGTGAGGTTGTTTTCCAGTGTGGAAGTTATTATTTATTACTAAGAGTACAGCACAGCACACAGCATCGCTGCCATTTGAGACACCCTTGAAAACAATTAATAATAATACCTGCTAGTGTTTTGGAGGAGAAACTTGAAAATATGATGATACCTTGATATCATATTAACTCTATTAAGTAATATTAAATTTCATATTAGCAATAGCTTTGCAAGCCACGGATGCTGATAAGATTAGCTGAAATCTTAGTAACTCCTAATTGGTAAGAAATTGTCCCATGAAACAGTCAGTCCCCCAAAATAAAAAAAAAACCACACTGTGAAAATATTGAGAAATACTCAGTCTGTAAGAATGTTCTTTTGCCAAAACTACTTTGCTACCAGCCAGCAAATATAAATTAAGTGCTCCAATTGAAAATATACAAACTGATCTTTATCTAAATACAAAGTAGAAACCTTGCCCACATCTTTGGACAAAATAAATAAATAAATAAATACTGTCTTTTGCCTAGTAACTATCACAGAACAATTTACTAAATGGGAAATTAAATGTAATATTAACTGGTTGTTGGATAAAACTATGCTCGGTTTTACTGGAAATAGACTTCTTGATCCTGGGTATCAGATTAAATACTGTCAGTTATTCCTAAGGGCTCTTCTAACAATAAGTTATTGAGTATCTTTGTTGAAGTACATGAAAAAACATAAAATAATATAACCAACAAGACTTAACTACCAGCAAGAGCTGGCATGACAAAAAAATAAAATTGCCAACTAGAAAGAGTGATTAATTAGAAAATGTTATGGGAAAGAGCTTTTATTTGTAAGTTTTATAAGTAGAGAAGCTCTCCTTTAAGTGATCAGTTGACCAAAAAAAATGGCCATTAGCAAACACACAAGCCTTCCTCATGTCTGAAAGAAATGCAGTAGATTCTAATATGAAACATAAGCTGAAAGAACAGCTCTGTTTAGTTAAGTTATGTATGAGTTACACAGTCTCTCAAGAAAACAGAACTGTCACAGGCTGGGAAGGGTTGAAAAGAGAAGATATAAAATAGAGAATGGTGCTTCAACTAACACCAGCTGTTTTGCTTTCCACTAAAACTCCCTCTGCAACACAGCTGATTTTTCCTTGTGGATGGAAACACAAAAGAGGAGTTAAAAAAAGACCTACCTTCTCCAAACATGTACATCGGTTTCTAGTGCAAAAAGCAAGTCTGTCAGAAGTCGCTGGTGCATGGGAGACCATTTAAACTCTGGAATACGAAACATAGTTGTGCGTGGGCCTGGACTGAACTGTCGTCGCTGCTCTTCCGTCATTGGCATTCCTCGGAACCCCAAGTCAACACGTAAATCCCGGTCTTGCTGGGTGACAGATCGACCCTGTACCGCCTTCATCAACAACAAGTTCAAACATCACATTAACTTTCTGTAAAGAGCTTTTGAATGGATCACATAATTTGAGCAAGTACAGGCTAGACTCAAGCACAAACTAAGAGACAGTGCTATTCCAAGGCAAGCAGTAACCTTCAGTAAAGAAGCTGCTCCAACCCAAATCAATCAGCACTGAGGGCCCACAGCTGGCCTTCCTTTCAGCTGTTCACTGATGTTCTACACTCAGATTCTTCACTTGAAGTATTACAGAAGAGACCAAATGCAGCACATACAAGGTCAGCAGTTACAGGACTGTTTATAGGAAATAACTATTTTGCGCTGATAACACAGTTTTCTTTGAATGTTTGACTCAAGATATGGACAAACTACACAGTGGTGGCTTCCATGAATCAGTGTACTTTTAGGCAGCTCCTCATTTTTCAAAACTGATTTATTTATCTGGTCCTTTTAGTATGATCGTTAGAGAATCAAGTCTAGTCTCACAAATCTCATTTTACCAATTTTTTACACTTCGCTAATTGCTTAACAGTTTTATGTATCCCCAAGACATTCTTTAAATTCTCCAAACAGGTGATGGATGTGAATTTCATTCCCTTTCAATAATCTACATTGTCATGACCATTTTCACTTGGTGATTAAAGACAAAAGGAAAAGATACATGTAGAGGATATGATAGAGAGTATAGTGAAGGAAAAAGTAGTAAAGAACAAACATTTTTACTGAATTTCAGGCAAATATTTATAGCCATTAAATTACTTACAGTGTGCAACACCTCTGAAAGGAAGAAATGCAAGGTTTGATTCTTGAAATGATTTTAAATTTTAGATTAACATAAAACTGGTGAAATAGAAAACACACTTGCTTTGCTCACATATTCATGTCCTGATCTCAGTGGGCTGTTTTAAATGGGGACATTTAAAAGCAAAATGACATTTACAAAATATTTCTGCTATCAGTGTAAAAAGAGACATGGCTTAGAGCTCAGCTAGAAAGCTTCTTAGATCTTTAGTCTTATTTTTATCTCCTGTAGCTAGCATTTTGAGAGCAAGGCAGGTTTCTTTAATTCAATTTGACCTATTGGGATCAAAATTGTTCCTGCTGCATTCATTTCCTAACTTTTCTGAAGGTTAAGTTTAAATTATTATTTTCTTTTTTCTTAGACTTATCAAAAATTTGAATTTTTTTCATGAATCTTCTGCATAGTGCTTTCAATTCTGTTTTCAGTCTTTCATACTTGGGACCTTAGGAAAGTTAATTTTTCCTTCTTCAGTACTTGATCTACTATTGAGAAAGGCATTAACTCTTCCTGGAAGTCAGTATGAGTTCCCATCTCTACTTTGTTGTGCAATTTGTTGCTTTCTTTGAGTACATTTGAACAAAAGACACTTTACTACTTACTGATAAGGTAGGGAGCTGTGTGTAGATCTGTGTTTAGAGAATGTGAGGTTAGCAACTCCATTCATATAGAGTTCAATCACTCTATTCCACTTTTTCTCTTTAGCAAAAAACTACAGGTAGTTGTCCTGTCAGCAGCAGTAGTGGTATCATAACTGTACCATAACAGGAGAGCTTTTATCTAGCCAGTAATACTGTATTTGCAAGAATGGGCTTTGATGTGCACTGCATAAACCACCATGAAACCCAATGATGTACACTTAGGGGGCCAATATTTTAAGTATTTTCAGCAGTCTCAAAGAGATCAATCCTAATGTGGCTGTTCCCTGCACACGTTAAAATTAACATTGCTCTCTACTCATGAAAACAATAACACTTGATTTATGCTTTATTTAATACATCCATCTTTTTTTATTAAGTTCAACTTCATTTCAACAGGAAAGATTTAACTATGGGCAATTTACAGTTCACAGGGTATTTAGAAACACCCAAAGAAAAGATTAGAAGACAACAATCCTGGTGGTTACACAGTCGATATTTATTTTTAAGAAAAAGACTCAAAAGATGTGCTAATGGCTACAGATTTCAATCAATTCCCTGTAGTTAATAATTTATTTTAGTGGGAAATAACTGTAATTTAAATAGTTCATGGAGAATAAATGAAGTTAAATAGCTTGTAGAGTTTGACTTGTGAAAAGTACACAGTTTGTAGATAATTTGCAGATCCAAATGATATGTTAGGGATTTTGTGAGTAGCTAAGAGAAAAACGTTCAGAAAATACTTTGTTTCTCCTGTCTTACAATGATGTGTTAAGAGTTCATTAAGATTTCTATTTAATAAATAAGTTCATTTTAATCCTAACAAATAATTGCAGGCTTGATGAACTTATATTTTTAAAATTCAACTAATACAGGTGAAATTCATCAAGAAAAGAGGTTAAAGAACAGAAAAGTCCCCAGGTCACATGGTAAGATTTTCTACAGTAGGAAGTACAAAGTCAGATTATCTTCTTCATTAATGATTTATCTTACACATTCACTATGTTTATGAATACTAGCATTTCACTCGTCTTTTACTCTGTGAAAAAAAATCCATGTTTCAACATAAAAACTGACTGTTCCTTTTTCTTGCTATTTTCTATTCCTTCCATTTATCAGTTCCCATGGTATTAACAGACTTAACTTAAAGAGTAAAAATAAGGTGTTTGGGAACTGATAGTAATAGATACACTATTCTTATCAAGAGCGATCTCAGGGCTTGTTCATTATTAAACTGAATGCTATTAAATAAGAGGATCCCTACACAATGCTCAATAGTCTGTCACTGATGTTATAAAGGTTCTCATAGTTTTGAAAAAAAATACTGACAAGAGAAACCTCAAACTTTTCTTAAAATATCTGTCTAGAGAATTCAAGAACTCAATCTGCTTTTCTCTTCAAAACAGAGGCTCTTACCATAAGAGAGATTTAGAGGAGGGACTTTTCTACATAGAAGACTTCACAATCCTCACACATCATGGCATTTTCAAAGCAAATAGGCTTAGAGGATGGACACCTTTTATGTAATTAAAGAAATATACTTCAAACATCTCTCAGATGCCATACTACTACTTTATTTAGCAGCTATGAACAGTGATCACATCAGACACATACATGGCTACAGCACTTGAAACTTACCTGTGTTGTGGTAGTTGTCTGGATTTTCCGAATCTCTTTTCCTGCCTCCTTACCATCATCGGATCTTTCTGTATCTGATATTATACTTCCTGCATCAACACTAGGTACAGTTTTGCTACCAGAAGACTCTGTTTCAAGAGTTGTGGCAGTCATTTCAGCATATTCTAATCCTTTAGATGATGAAGCCAATTCCCTCTCAGAAATGCTACTCATTCCATCTGAAGTTGTGTGAATCTTAAATTCCTTGTCCTCTATTATACTTGAGGCACATGTTACATCTACACTACCCGTCATATGTGCAAGCAAACCTAAATCATCATTTACACCAAGATGCATTTGTGTCTCCTGGACATTTGGAATAGAAATGTGATTACTTGAAAGTTCAGGTAGAAGTTTCTCCTCTTGACTAGGAATTTTATCAAAGATAAATGAGGTACTGTTAGTAGAAGGTTCATCTTTCTCATCAGCCAGAGTTATTAATGGACCATTATCTTTTTCCTCATTCTTCTTAATGATACCCACACTTCCGTGAACATTGTTTTGGAGCTTCTCAACAGCAGCACTATATACATTGTCTAGAAGAGATTCTACTTCCACAAGAGCACCATTTTCTCCAGTTACCAGTGTCTCTGGTGATAAATCCATATCATCAAGTTTTACTTCAGTCGCTTCTACCTTTTCAGCTTTTATATCAACTAAAAGGTCATGAACTTCAACATGCACTCCTCCTCCTGGTCTCTCAGCACTTCCAAGCACATCCTCTGACACCTTTGTAGCCATGAGCAAGTCCCTCGTATCTGTACTGACAGGGTAATCCGTTTCACTTTCTGGACTTTGGCTCTGTGAAAGGTCTTCTATCTCTCGAATTTCCATTCCACCTTTTGCTCCTGTTGTCTGTGAGGAAAGACCTGAGATGGTGCTCACATTTCCCTTCTTCCCCTTTTTAATGTTTTCTTCCTCTTGCCTTTGATACTCTTCATACATTTTTGCTAGATACTCCTTGTGAGCCTCATATGTGACCTTAAAAAGAAAAGTACAGATTATGCAGATGTCTATATGCTACACGAATTGGGACAAAATGTAACATGAATCTTAACAACATATTACATACAGATTACAACTTTTTTTCACAGCAAAGGACCTACAACGATGACAAAAAAATGCCACCTTGACATGTATGGAGACAGCCACCAGATGGCACTAAATCACTTTACATCTTCTCTCTAGTCTCTTTGGGGGAGTTACCGGTATTTAAATAACATCCACGAGCCATTTCTTACCTTGGAATGAGCTATAGAAAGAGTATCCACCCACACTCTCCAGCCTCCCCATTCATATTTTATTGCATGATACAACAGAATACGGAAAATGTTGTAAACCATCTCTGTGATCTTCTGTTCTTCAGAGTTCTTAGGGTTAATGTATCCCAGAGAAAACATCCAGTCCTGCCACACTGAACACTGAAGTAAACATCTAAAGTGAAATAATTAGATCAAAATATATCCAAATAAAGCCTCTTTATTTTAACATTATGATTATTAAAATGTGAGCAAAATAATAAGGCACATCACCTCACAACATCAACCCAATGGTAAGAAGAAACCTAAAAATACTTCAGGCTGAATAACAATTTAAAGTATATTCCAAACAGAAGAACCCAGTCTTAGGTGCTGAACTAAGAAAAATTACTACACAGCTATTCTATTTATTTCTATGTTAAATCATAGAATCATAGACTCATTCATTTTGGAAAGTACCAGTAAGATCATCCAGTCCAACCTTTAACATAACTCTACTAACCTAGCTCCACCAGCCCACTGCTAAACCATGTCCCTAAACACCGTATCTAAATGAATTTTAAAAACATTCAGTGATGGTGATTCAATCACTTCCTTGGGCAGCACGTTCCAGTGCTTAATAACCCATTCTGTAAAGAAGCTTTTCCTAACGTCCAGCCTCTCTTGGTGTAACTTCAAGCCATTTCCTCTCATCCTGTCACTAGTTACTAGTGAGAAGTGACCAACACCACCCCGGATACAACCTCCTCTCAGGTTGCCGCAAAGAGTAATAAGGTCTCCCTTCAGCCTCCTCCTCATTAGACTAAACAGCCCCAGTTCTCACAAGGTTTGTTTTCCAGACCCTTCAACAGATTTGTTACCCTTCTTCAGACCTGCTCTAGCACCTCCATGTCTTTACTGTAGTGAGGTGTCTAAAAATGAACACAGTACTTGAGGTGTGGCCTCAGCAGTGCTGAGTACAGGGGCAGTACAACAGATCACTACTACACAGAAGTCAGGGATCACAAAAGAGTATTTGTAGTGACATACCTTCTGTTTTCACGGCTATTACTAAAGAGTTTTATCATATCAGATAAGAACAAACGTCGGACTTCCATCAGTTCTGCACTTGGCGTGGAGTTTTTTAACAGTGTTGCCACCACCTTGAGAATCACTTTGAAATAATAAATTAGTTACGTAACATTTTTTACAACATTTAAGGAAAAAAAAACCAAAACAGTTGCTGACAGCAACTTCTGTAAGTGGAAACTGAAACCCATACGTATTTGAGATACACTAATGAATTATTCTCGCTTCATGAAACATATTCTTTAAAAAAACCCCACAACCTCCAGGCAATATATCTATCACAGAAACATGATATATTGTCCTTACTTGGATTCTGGATTTTCACTGTAGAATCTGGCTCTGGATGTGGTTTATGAACAACTTGAGTGCACACTTGTTCTGTCAAAATCTAAAATAGAGTATTAAGGGATTTTTACCATTTTAGTTAAATGCTAGAGAATTTCTGTGTTAATTTAAAAATGTATTAAATGTATTAAATTTATTTATTTACTATGGCCACACTGCAACTTCATTTATAAAATATTTTTGTAAAATATTTTATTCTTGAAGCATGGAAAAGAGATACTTAATTAACATTCCTTATTTTGTTCTACATTTACAGATTAAAAAAATATCTTTCCTGAGCACTACGTATAAAAAGTTATTTGCATACATGCCATCCATAACCAAACCCAGTATTTCTTAATAGTGGGCTTGGTTTTCTCCATCTATGAAAGAGGAACACTCACAGACAGCATTCCATAGGAATAATCCTAGGGCTTCACCTAATGAGTAAATCAGATCATTCTCCTGCTTAATTAATTGTCACTGAGAAAATAATTAACCTGTACAAGGCAACACCACAGACCTTTCACACTGGGACAACCTGTCACAGGTTCTATGTATGCAACCTTATTTTTAAGAACAAGCTAAAAATTTAATGGTATCAACACGGGATTCTCACTAAGTATATCAAGCAAATGTCTTTAAAAAGAAAATAATTTCACAGGTAATTCTTATTTATTTAACACAGAACTTTAGCTCATTCATTAATCAAGAAATAATAATTAAACCAATATCAGTTGTAAACACAGCATCTTTGAATGGGTCTTTACATACTAGCATTTAAAATTGAATGCAAATATGCCTTAGCTTTTTATGAGAGAACATGGAAAATATCTGCATTAGTTCCTTGGCAAATCTCTTGTACTTCTGACACTTAACTCCTTTTTCTCCTTCTCTGGCTTTTTTTTCAAATGTCAATGTCCGTGGATGCTGGACTTTAATTTTTTCACTGACTTATGTATTTTCTGAGAATACCAATCAGAAGCTCTCAGAAATCTGAATGCAGTGACATCTATACTGTGAGACTCAAGTGCTCAAATAACACAGGTTAAGCTATGTGCAATAAAAAATAATGTCTGAGTAAGTCATTGGCATATATATGACATTTATGTTTTTACAATCATAGGAGAACGCTTTCTGCATCACTCAGACTCAGAGTCCTAAATACCAAACACTCCTTTAGACTTTCTTGTCTCTTCTGGAATAAGTCCTCAGCATCTAGCCACTACACCTATTTGTGGCTTCAAAAAAATAATAACAGCATAATTAAAAAATACCTTTCTAGTGCTTAACAGCCACAGGTTCAATTCTAAGTGACTGTTTTTAAAATAACTGAAGATTTAACATGATCTTTGTGCATTTGTAGGCATGAGTTTCATGGGTTTCAATCAATTTGTAGGCATGGGTTTCAATCAACTTCATGTCCACAATATTTTGATTTAACAAAATTGCTCGTCGTCAAAACTGAAGTTACTACAAAAGCCTGGTAGAACAATTGAATGCTCCAATATTCACCTCAAGCAGTATCTGTTACATAAAACAGCTGTGTTCAGTTATGATTTTGGCATGCTATTCACATTGCTATATAAAATAGATAAACAGCACTTTGCAAAATGTTGTAAACTTGAAAAGAATGGCACAAAAACAAAGGAGAACAAAAGAGCATCTCTGGTTCCAGCACTTCCCACTGCAATGGAAGAGTAAGAGCAATTACAGGTCTGCAGTAACTTCTTTTTTTTTTTTTTTTTTTGTGTAATGTGATCAATAGCTTCATCAGCAGAATATTTTCCATCTTCCTTTGTAATGCTGTAGGTGGGAAGCTTTATGAAGACTATGTAAATATTATGACATTGTTAATAAAATACCCAAGAAAGGCAAAATAACATTCTAAACCAATAAAACATTTATCAAAATTTCCATCCACAACTTTATCATAAGTTTTGAGAATCAGAATATTGTAAAGCACAGAGTCAAAGTATAATTAAGTAATAATTTTTACAATAGATATGACAAGCTCTTTGTTTAATAATTAATACCTCATAAAGTGTGTTATACGTTGTAACGGTCACTGTATTGGTATGCAGCATTAATCTTTCTCCAAGAAGAGTGAAAAGACTGTGAGTATGCATGATTTCAACTTTTCGCCTGAAAGAGAAATTAAAAACATTAGGAAAATGCCAAGCATGTTAACATTTTAAGTAAACACAAAACCATCAAAAACCAAATATTTTGATGTTACAGTAAAAAGTTCAAAAATTTGTTTTCTGTGAAAACTGTGAATTAAAAATAATTGAAGAAGTTTCCCCACACTAATGGAATTGTAGGAATACACAAAGGTTCTCTGAAAGCAATGAAGTATTGGGATGGGTTTTTGTATAAAAAAATGATACAGTGGAAAAGACCAAGGAATCTCTTTCTATCTTATTCAGACTGAGGGAGTTCAAGATGTTCACAAGATGACTAAAATGTGATCGCTATAGAACACACCTTTTGTCACTCCCTCAAAGACTCAGGACAATCCAATCTCAGCTCTTCCAACAAAAGTACTAACACATACATATTTGTCAGTACTGACATTCGCTTTATATAGGATTCTCTCATGCAGCCAAAATAATTAAATCGAGTAACAGATGTAATGATGCAAAGGAAATAAACTCCTGAAAAGTTATTAAATTCTAAGTGATTTAATTTTATAGCTAGGATCAAAAACTACTCAAATCCTAACAAAAGAAGAAAACAGCTGACATTGGTGAATTCCATCTGACAAAAACATTATTACTTAAAAATGGGATATAACATCCTAAATTGTTTAACATTTTATTCTCAAAAATTGTATAATTAAATTTATCTACTACTGTAATGAATATAAAATAAAAATAATTATTAACCATAATTATTAATCAATAATATAGCAGCAGAAAAATAGAACACATTAAAGTTTCTGTAAAATTCTATGCATTCAAAAGCTAGAAAGCTCCTTTTTCATGATTATTGATGATAACAACACAGGTTTAAATTACATAGATTCATTCGAGAACTTTTGAAATTCATACATTATATTAATTTTCGGATTACTACAAAAGAGAGCACCAACAGAAGAGAGTTCCTTAGTTACTTAGGAGAAAAACTACAAGTGTTCAACCTTGTGAGCTATTATGTAGCACACAGAAGTGAAAATTCATTTAAATATCCAGATAAAAAAATAAATAAGTGAGTATGATTTCAGTGGTGGTGTTGAAAGAATCCAGGACTGCAGAGAAGGAAAAATACAGTATTTTGCCAACTGTTAAGGACAGAGAAATAGTCTATCAAGTAAGATCACAAAGAAAAATAATTAAAGTTATTCAGGCTCTCATCTAACACACTACAGGTCATACTGGTAATTTCTCCTAAGAATCAATTACCTCATCTCTATACTTTAATCTGTGATTCATAAAGATGAACCAGAGCAACAGTAACTTGTTTTGTTCTTGCACATTCGTTATTAATATAATTTTGGTTCAGATTTCATAAATCACATCATAATATTTCTTTATGCAATTCTGCTTTAGTATATTAAAATGTAATGCCTGTTTCCTGTACTGTGAAACAGAAATTTAGATGCTTTATAATTTTGTGTAGTTTATAGTTCTATAATAGCTTAGAATTTCCTGTAGTCGACTAGAACAGTATAAAACCATGCATATGTGCAGAAATAGGCACACCTCACATGTGAAAGTTGTAAGATATGAAATGAAGGGAGGGCATTTTTACTTGCTAGAATCTACAAAGAATGTGAACATCTACAGATGTTTGGAGGTCTGAAAATTAAAAAAATAAATAAATCAAAGCAACTTTGAAAGTTATGGAGAATATTCAAGTGACTTCAATGACTTCAATGACATGAAAAATAAAGTTATTTATTTTGTGCTAACTACTTCTACTCAACAATGGAAACTACACTGATATATCCATAATTACAAGTAGATGCCAAAGACCAGGAAATTAAATTTCAGCTTCTGAAAAATCTCACTTTTATTTTTCTCTAATGTTCCACTGATAAAGTTCACTACTTGATATACTGGATAAGCAATAAATATTTTAAACAAAGGTATTATTGAGACTCAATCAAGCTTCTGGACAAGCCAAACCTTCATCTAGTATATCTTTACCCAGCTCCTATCAATGTGAATTATTTTTAATAAGCAATGTTTGAAAAGGCCTTGGAGGTTCTTGAATGGACTATAAGTTTGCTTTATTCATTCCCAGAACACTACTTGGCTTGTTGGATCCCAAAAGGAAAACCTCAATTGGGAGTATATTCTCAGCTGTGTATCAATTATATAGTCATACTTCATTGATCTTGCTGATAAAAGCATGTCTAGCAATACTATGCTCTGGCTGGACTCCTACCTCCTTTCCCTGCTAAGGAGGTTTTACAGGATGAAGTCTCATGTGGAGCACACAGTTCATTTTTTCACTGCACAGTCTCCCACTGGAATACTGTTATGGGTAAACTCCAGCAGGCAGTTAAGCACTACATGTAGTATGGGAAGAGTGAGAAGCAGCTGGTTACACAGCACTTTATGCTTTTTAATTAGTTCTTAACACCAAAATATCAAAGATGAGACTCAGTAAATTTATTCCATGACACCAGTTCTTTTAAAATGCAATTATTTCTCACTCTCACATTTTATATGTGGATATTTCTTGCAGAGGTGTGTCCTTATCTCTTCTTTTTTTAATGATAATTTACTTAGTCTGTTTGCTTTTCCTTCTGAAACATTCCCATGAGAACAACTTATTCTTCTGTTTCATTTTCCCAATTATTTAAAGACTATATTTAGAAGTATTGCCCTGAAACTTTCATTGCCATGACATTGTAAATTCCAGAAACATTTTTTTTTATAACACTCATGTGTTTCCTGTTATCCTTAGCTGAACATACAATATACATTTAGAAAACGTATTTTTGGAAATTTTCTAAAGACTGTCAAAAAACATACAGTAATCATGACAAAAGGACAAGAAGAATTGTGGGCTTAAATACAGCACTACAACAATTTTAAAACTATACTTACTTATGACCCAAGTGTTTAAGAAAATATCCAAGGACCTTCAAAGCTTGCACCCATATACTCTCACTTTTGGAAGCCAGTAATTTATAAATTACACTAAAAAAAAATTAAAAAAATAAACAACTTTTTTCAGTTTATCAGTAAACACCACATATATAGATTGCTTTTCACTGAATAGGGGTAGTTATTAATAAGTAAAAGCATAAAACCAGCAATTTACACAAAATGGAAGGATATATTGAAAGCATCAAGCTCAGCATAAGAGTTTATTAATTTTTCACATTAAAGATATGGTGTCTTTTGGTTCAGTTCAGTATTTTATAATAGAAAGTGACAACATTCTCATACTTCTACCTTGGAATAAAAGACAGTATTGAGCAGTGAGAGCTTAAGACAAGAGAAGGAGATTGGAGCACATAAGCTCACATCCTCGAGTTTCCTGAAGTACCTGGATGCTACTGAAAATCTGCTTTCATTCTTAAGAACCCTACTCAATACCCTTTCTTCATAAGATAGAGTATCTGCATTTAATCACAGGCTTTTTACACCAAAGTCTCATTTATCAACAATAAAACATGGCAATATCTTATACAAAATCCCATATACAGCTAAGAAGCCACATCCTCATTGCATCCAAATTTTGTGTGGAAAACACCACCCTGTGGATTCAAATCCTGGATAAAAAAGGCCTCATAATTTAACCAATTTAATTTATAATTTATTTAATATGACTGGTCTAAGCTCAAATTCTAGAGTCTTTCCGAAGGGAACACAGTCTTGATTTGGACACCAAGACACAGTAAACATTATCCTTTCTTTGGATTGTTCTTCAACAAATTTTAAATATATATGGTAGATTCCCACTTGAATTATCTGATCTTCATCTAGTAACCATTCTTTTTAACTTTTCTCCACTAAAGAGAACTTTAGCAGACAGCATCTTCCTCTTTGGAAATGACTAATGCCATTATCAAAGGACCTCTGAGACTTTTGTCTTCTGATAACACAAGCAGACAAATCCCTAATTCTATGTAAGGTATTTTAAAAAAAAAACTTAAATCTTGCAACTCCACTTTTTCAACGCAGACTTTTAAACACAGAGACTGCACTGTCAAACAATTTTAACACTGGTACCACAAATGTTACATAAAGGTGTCTTAAATCCTCTTAAATCAGTCTTACTTGCCTTCAAAAGGTGTCAGGAACAGAAGTCTGTCTGAATACAGACAACTACAGTGAGAAAACAAATTCCTAACTGCGAGTACAATAAGTCTTCCCTTTACCTAGCAATGCATTCAAACAGTGTTAACTACAAGTATTTGTACAAATATCTTATTATTTTGGCAAAGCAAAGTTTTAATTTATCAGGTAGCAGATGTTTTTCCTCACAACCCCATTTTACAAGCCTCTTGCATTCTGCAAAGTATCTTCAGAACAGCACAAAATAAAATGCTATACTAAATACTAAATTATAAACTTGAAAATTATTAATCTCTGAAAAAAATTGCATTACCAAATTAGACATAAAATCAAACAAAAACACAGCTTCTCTGGGAATTTATCAGTTATTAATTTTACTGTCAAACAGATAAATATATGAATGTCACAAACAGCATTTTTAATCTTTTCAGAGAGAATTTGAGAGATTAGGGGAAGATTTCTCGTTTCCTTCTTCTTCCCCCTGGACTATGCTAAACATTGGAAGACAGAATATTCAAAATTATTCTGAGAAAGAGAGTTGGCTTTTTTATACATTTGGTTAATTAAATATTCCATTTGAGATTGAGAAGTAAATTCAGTACCTTTAACTTCAAATATCAAAATGGTAACCTTAAGTGCTTTTTTTTTTTTCCTCCAAGCTATCAAAACAACTCTGTTTTTTTATTTAAAATATAGCAAATATATAGCCTAAGTTGAAAAAAATTGTAGTTTAAAAGATCAGCAAGTGTGATATTTATGTGAAAAAGAAGCAGTCTGGAGAGTGATGATACTGGAACTACTTTTAAGCTATTTTCTCCCTTCACTGTCTTACCGTATCCCATTTCTTTGATCAAAGGCAGGTATCATGGACGCTGGATGTTCGGACATTAGTGCCACTAGCAGCTGCAGCACATCATGAATATTTTCATCCTGTATGAAAAGCATCAAAGTTATTCTACAAACTAACCTCAACAGCAGGCTTCCCATAGAGTTGGCACAATTGGTTACAGCAAAAGATAGGTAATTACAGAAATGTACCTCATGCATTGTTAATAAGTAATTTAATATACTCTGCAGTTCATCTTCTTTCACTCCCCGATCCTTAAAAAAAAAAAAAAAAGAGGAGCATTAGTCAGAGAAAATACATTCCTTAAGTTTTTTTCAAGAAAAACTTGGAACAAGTAAAATCCTACATTTTTTTTCTAGTTAAATGCAAAAGACTAAAATCTCTTACTCATTCCTTTGCTTTTGCTTATCACATTAACAATTCGAAACACCATGAAGTCAGCCCTCTATTCCTCCTAGAAAGGATTCTCACAGTGTGGGCCCTCAGATACTATAAACTATTACTGCCTCCAATCCTTGACACAGAAAAGAACAGGAGAAATAAGCCAGGCTATTTTATTCTAGTCTCAGATGACAGATTATACCATAAAGACCAGCATTTAGTTGTAACAGAGGGAGTCCTAGACCATTTCAACCAGTAGTAGAACAAGAAAATAAGGGCAAAACAATAACTAACTTAACTGCCATTACCTCTTTCCATTTTATTGATCAAGCAACTATCTATCTACTATCATATAAAAAAAGCCCAAATAACTGAAAGGTTCAGTGCTGTCATATACTATTTCTGCAAGTACTTTTAATAAAATATATGTGGCAAAGTTTGGTGAGGTTAATAAGAAATACTGTGCAGATTTACTACCTTAATGTTGATTAGAAGTATGTGCACGAACCTTAAAATTAACCAAAAACAGATACAATGCCTGAAAGTTATTATATATTTACTACCATGAAAGACCCTATTACATGTATATAACAGAATTCCATGTTTTCCATCTGGAATGGTCTGTTTTACCTTCAATATAAGTTGTTTCAAAAACAGCAGCATGAAAGCCCTTAGTGATATGATTTCTTTCTGTGAGGGCCGAGGACCATCTGGATGAAGCAAAAGATACAATTTTAAAACATAAATTAATTCCTTGAATGACTGCAGCTTCTTAAGGAAATCACAGTTCCCACAACAGATTTAGTATTGCAGTCATTCTATAAAAGTTCATATTTGCAAATGATGTCATTTATAACCTTTCAGAATCACATTTTACAACAGTAATATATATAAGTGCCACTGATGATTCATTTTGGAAAAAAATAAAAATCCATATACTCGTTTTTTCTTTAACAAAGACTCAGGAAAATGGAAGGTAGTAATCAGGTCTAGAGTCATTCAACTAAATTGAGGTATATGTTCTGTTGGTGTCTTCATATGAACCAGGAGTTTCAAATCTCGATATAAGCTTTTTTGACTAGATCTACTAAACTCACACAATGTCAGTGTCCAGTTCAGGATAAAAATTATTTGGTCTATCGACTACAGAGTTGAATTTAACTGAAAACAATGGGAGCTTAAACACCTAGTACAAGCTACACTGTGAGCATGTAAACTTAAAAGGGTCTGAATACAAAGCTGAATCTCACTAAAATACATGCTAACAATTTGGAATAACTAAGCCACTATGTTAAACATAATCTGAATGAAATACAAAAACAAAAGGACTCATGAAGTATTAGTGGTGGCCATTACCTCTAGCAGGAACTGAAGATATTTATCCAAAAAGAAACTATAATTGAAAAAAGCCCACTAAATTTAAAGTACATCTTTGTATTCTTTCCAATCCAGATGAACATAAGCTTTTAATGAGGGGTTTTCTACAGTCTCCTGTGACAGTGAAGCCACTGCTGTACACACGGTAATTCAAGTTTGCAATGAGGACAAACCTAAAGGTAAGTTATATTTGCTTGACTGGCAGGAGCAAAAAAAGAATTTTCTTCCCTGTTTAGGAGTGGAGAAAGAAGAACTGGGTACTTCTTAGAAAGAAGTAAATAAATCTCAACTTCCTGCGTCATTGTATGTAAAAACACTAAGGCCATAAAAAATCTATAATACAGGCTTTAAAGAGAGAGGAACAGTTTTACATCCATACATTCTAATGGCAGCATGAAACACCTATTTATCACTGTAAAAACAGAAGTAAGTTGGATTTTTTGGTAGCTGCAACAGCATTAAATATTGCATGTGTTTTTATAGCAATGATGGGCTTCCAGCCACCAGCTATTTTTTTTCCCTAATTCAAATGCATATTGAACTCTAACTGCATGACAGAAATATGTTTCTTTGCACTTCCTCTTCTCTCCTACACCTTATTGGGATTCAATACTGGCCAATATCTCAAAACCAGGCCTTTAAAACAGTCTTTTCTAGAAGACCATAATTATGGAAACAGATAACACAACTCTAAGGCTCCGCAAAGGGCTTCAGTAACATAACTTTTAAGGGAGGATATTCCAAATTAACTGGGAACCCATTCAAAGATACCCAAGTTTCATACTTCTCATTGAGATCCCTACTGGATGTGTTGTGGGAGAACCTTGAAAAGGGTTCTTCAACATGAAAAGATACAAAAGGAGTAGTTGCTTATAGGTAACAGGCCAAGCTGGTGAAATGATGTTTGTTCTCCATGCCTCCAGTACTATTAATTTCTTGTATTTTGGTTCTGTCTTGAAACTCCACTGCATTAGAATCAGAAAAAAGAGATGGCCTCTGCCCAAAAGACTAAGTCAGTTTGAAAAATAAAGACAACGGGTCGGGAAAAATAAGAGAAACTGGAGAAAATGGAGGCTATGTAACCAGAAGACAGCTACAAATAGTGGAAGAAAGGATTGCAGCAACAGTAATGCAACAGTCATCTGATATAGATTGAACAGAATTAATCTGGGAAGTTGTAAAGCCACATAAAATGGATTTGCTGCTACAACTGTTATGTAATCTCACTTTTTTGTTTCATTAATATTATTAGTTTCATTATATTATTTCATTAATATTATTATTAATATTATTAGTTGAAGACTTATTTTTTAAAAAATGCATTATAGAACAAACAGTGGTATAATTTATTCTGTAATTAAAAAAGAAACATTATACACACATATACTTAGGTAACGAGAGACAAGTGGACCGTGTTTTTCAACTCAAACTCTGAAAAGTAGTTTTCTTTACTATTATCTTTGCTGCTATCACTGTATATAGACCATTCAGTGTTACCATCAGAGACTGATAAACATCACTGCTAATCCAAACCAAATCAACAAAAATAATCCTTTTTAAATCTCATACAGCCCCTAATACAAAATAGCAACATTCTTGTTAATTGGCAAAGAGAACTGATGCACCCCTGTGACACCAGGATGAATCACTAAACAATTTCCTGCCTCTAGATTCTTTTTGTATGCATTTATTGCAGACAGCACATGATTCACCTTTTTTTTTTTTTTTTTTTCTTTTTAAATATACACTTATAATTACAGTTATGCAGCTTTATCCAGGCAAAAATAAATGAAAAAAAAAAAATCCAATTCATCCTTGTGCACAGAGCAAGCATAGGGGCATAAAACAGAACTAATTAAGAGTGAATAAATAAACATATTCACAGAGTAAAGTACAATCAGTACTGCTGTAAAAACTGATTGGGAGTTTTGGAAAACAAAAATAATGATTTCTAATCCTGTCTTTGGAAATAAAATGTTCTGGTATCACTTCTACAAGCAATCAAATGCAAAATTCTTCCATCTGGCTTTTTTAATGTGTAAAAAGCATGCTTTTTCTAGTCCTTAAATATATAAAACATAATATAGATAGCAGAATCTGATCTCCATTCATGCATAAATAACATAATGTTATGTGCATCACAAAAGGACCTACTTTTAATCTTTAAACTTTTAATTAACTCTGTGCAACATTTTCTATCCACAAAAACTATAGTTCCTTTCTCCATACAATAATTTTCATAATTCCCACTCTTCCAGTTCATATTAAAAAATATTGAACACAAAAAATGTTCTTGAAACTCTATTTAACACGAGTTAACTTGGACGTTAAAACCCATATGTTCTCTAGCAGGAGGCAAAATACTGTTCATAAAGGTCCATTCAGATGGACAGGACAGGAAACACAGATAAAAAGAAATGCTTGGCCAGCATCTCAAGAATGAACTACACTGCTCACTAGCCTGGAACTCAAATACACACTTCCCTCATACAAAAACAAAGTTGCAAGTATTTCACAGGCATGCTCCACAACAGAGTCCAAAATGACAAAGTAGCACAATAGATTTATGGGATTTGTTAACACCGAGTATCCTAGGTTATGTTTTCCTAGGATAAATTTTGCATTGCCTTAATTTTATTCCTTCTCATTACTGCATCACTGTTGGTCCACCAATATTTTCAGAGAATGCCATGCAGTTGGTAAGAAATTCCAAGGAAGGTATTTCAAGACACAAATATCCTAGTGGGCTCTAGTAAGTTCTCTCTTAAATTTACAGGAATTGCACATTGAATTAATTCAGCAACATGGAGTATTTTAAGTGCATAACTATTTTATTTTTCTTTAAAAAGGTTAATAAAGAAATTAAAAGACTGCTAAAATAATGTTAAGATGTCTCTGACAGCTGTCACTGAAATGTACCATCTACCATAGCAGGATAAAGAGTTAAAGCTCTTCTCACTTATATTCTTATTTTTTCCCAACATCTACGAAGGAAATAATTACCGGAGTAATATAATTTTGAATAGATTTTACTCAATCGACAGTTCATTGCGTCTTTAGATGCTGCAACTGCTGAGTAACCCTATGAATTTCTCCCATCTTCATATCCTATTTTATATAATCCAACAAAATGTGAAAGGCATGTAGATGGCAAATCAAGAGAACACGTACAACCGTAGTTCAAGTGCAAAATGTAAAATATAATACAATTTAGAGATTCTTTCTTCTGGAAATCTGATTGAATTTTTCTGCTCTTTGTGACATGAGAATTATTTCACCAGTTTACTTTTAATATGGTCTTAAAACAAAAGTAACTTTAGTCTTGCCACTTATTTATAACTGGCAAAAAAATAATAATAATAATAATAATAATAATAATAATAATAATAATAATAATAATAATAATAATAATAATAATAATAATAATAATAATAATAATAATAATAATAATAATAATAATAATAATAATAATAATAATAATAATAATAATAATAATAATAATAATAATAATACACAAAAAGAGAAAGTAAAATTCATAATTTTATCAAACTGGTAAGTATACACTTTAAAAAATGTTGATAATTCAGAATGAAACAAAAAGATAATAATTTAGCATACTGAATCCAATTAGCTTACTGAATCCAATAAGAAATACCAGTTTGAAAAAGGAATGCTATAATGAAAGAGAACATATATAATAAAAACTGAAATAAATTTTGGAACCTTTCAAATAATTCAAAACATTCACACTTCCTATTTTCTAAGCTGAATACCAGGAGAAGCAAGAAGAAAATTTTCTTTAAAAATGGAAACAGTGTTAGCTAAATGGCAAAATTCAGTACTGAGCTACTTTCACTTTAAACTAGGTATAGTGAAATGTTAGTACAGAAAACTCAGCCACTTTGTGCTTTCTTAAGACAAGGGAAAGCAATAAAACCTTAAAGCAGAGTTACTGTCTGTAAGTAATAGTAAATCAAACTACTAATATTAAAAAGTGTTCCGGTATCTCTGCATTTAAAATGATATGCCTAGAAAACATGAAAGCATCACACTACTAAAATGTCTGCATAAATAAGCTTACTTTCTAATATGACAGTAAATTATTTGAAGACACTGTAATACATTAAGTCAAATTTTGGATATTGGCAAGATTTCCATTAAAGTCTTCAGATCTAAGAAAGTCTGATTTCAAGTTAACTTAGGGTTTCAGTCACCTTTGCTAAAGGAATATGGTATGCCACTTTCTTGCATTAGGAAATTTTTCTGTCTCTTAGTCTCTTACAGTAAAAGTACTGCTCACAGACACTAGGTCCTGTTCTTTCATTTTGAAATACCAAATGCTGCTTAAAATGCAACAACTCTAATATTCACATAATTGTATTTTTACCCTGCAATCCTCCTACTAAGAAGAAACTCCTAAAAGAAGTTTAAAAACTTCTTTTTACACATTATATTACATTTTAACAAATTAGAAACTTGCTAGCTACATGTGGCAGTAGTGGCTGTATGAAGGCTAATAAAGATAAACACAAAAACGATTCCTCGCATAGTTAACTTTTTTGAGATGTTAGGATTGGTGAAATTAAGTGTTGCTGAAGACAGAGGTGGAAAGAAAATGCATTAAGTGTATTAACTACTGTTACTTATAGTATTCTAAGACTATAAGCTTGAATCAGTCAAACCTGCATGCCACATTGGCAGATTGCACTTAAAAGAAAGAGCATCTGGTGAAGAAAAGTGATGTAATTTCCAGGTGATTAAATATTTTTTAAAGTTTAAAGGAATTCTAACAATTTAAAGTATTTAATATGAATTTGATAAAGAAGCTAATATGAAATTAAGGTAATGTGAAATTAAACTTAGCAAGCCATCACCTCAACAGTTCTGGTATTTGCACAGTCATATGCTTGCAAATCACCACAGTTCATACAGCTGTACTAGTCAGAAGTAGAAGTGAAATAATAGTCCCAGAGTTGATTTACACAGAGAAAACTCTATAGCTATGCTGGATTTGCACATCCGTCATTATGACACTGATCTTCCTCCCTGATAAGCCAATATTCATCAACTCAACGCAACAAAGCTATTTTTACACGCAAGAAAGAGAGTTCTACAAAATACTTTTATATAGTTATAGCATTTACATGGGATGTTCTGCAGTCTAAGCAATGGGGAAAGAAAGAGGATAAGGAAAAAGGAGGAAAGTATTTTAAAAAGTCAAGTTTATTGAGGGATGTAACCAAAGCGAAAAAGGAGAAAATTCAGATATAGTGGATAATAATATGTATTTTGAAAATGTGCATGGCCTCACAGTTTATCAAATGCCTTCCCAGGTACTGTATGAAGGCTTTAGTAATTCTGATTTTTGTTGTCTTACTACTAAACCAACCAACCAGTAATTGACACTATCTGATTACCTCTCAGGGAACTAACGTAGTTCCCTTCCTGAGAAAACCAGGACATTGCCTGGAATTGACACAAATGAGAAGAGAATGTAAAATATCCTTAAAATAGGTAAGAATGATAGGGAAGTATAACAACCATAGGTATGTTAATTTAGGGTTAACTGATTAATTTCTGTCTCCTAATTTTGTGTCCTCGTGTGGCCAATGCCTTCTGTTCAGATTTTATAGCATACTTCCCCTCCCTGCCAGCTATTCAACTGGCATTACACATACAAATACTTCAAAAACACAGCTTACTGCAGAGAGGTAGATCCGGGCAAGATAAAAAGCCATATCTCCTACCGAAAGAAATGTCACAGTGATTCCACGAAAGAGCAAGCCTGGCCAGAGGCAAGTCTGTAACATGCAATAAACTTTCAAAGTGTTGTTAGGTATTAGTGTCATGACACAGAAGTAGAGGACTTCATTAATTAAAAAACAAAACAAAACCCCAAAACAAAAAAAACAACCAACCAAAAAAAAACCCCAAAGAAACAAACAAAAAAAACCCAAAGAAACCAACCAACCAACCAAAAACAGACCCCAAAACCCAAAAAGAATTACAGCAGTAACAAGTAGACAACATTATCAAACTCAAATCTGTCGAGTAATTTTCCAGGACTCTAGGTGTAAACGTTTGACACCTGGAAACATTATCTCCCAATGGCTTCTCATTCATCAGTCACAGATGCAATGTGCATATTATAAACTGATCAGCTGAGTTTTTAACATCCTCAGTGAGGTCAGTACGGTTAGCTTGCCTGATGGTAAAACGGAACCCATGCAGCATGACAGTGTAACCCTCAAAAGAAGACAGCTCTGAAAGCATGAAGCTGGACAATGTCAGTCCCAGGGTAGGATTCAGCTCACCCTAATTTCAGGCATCTACAGTGTAGTGGTCAACACACGAGACCAGATTTTAACTTGCCACTGAAGTCAATGGAGATCTAATCCATACAGGCAATGGAGTCTAGAAAGCAATTACTGCTCAAATGAAATAGTTCTCAAGGTTCTGTCAACTAAGGGTAGGATGCAGCTTCCAAAACATACTTATCAGTGTGATTTGACATGCCATAAAGTATCAAAAATCTCTACAGAGTACAAACAGATTTGACAGAGGATGACAGGACACCAATATCCTTCTGAGAGGCAGGTAGGATAACCCACAGAGACCAAAATGATGGTAGAAACGTATATTCAGGCAACTGACTCCTGCATTTATAATCAGCAAATATCTAGCTCAGATGGAGACATGCTCATTGTGGTACCAAAAATGATCTTAATTAAATTTTGGCAGAGAGAATCCAGAATCAGTGCAAGTGGAAAATACATTTCATCACTGACAAAAAGTTTCACACTAATTAAGTAACCACCACGGTTACTTTTCATAATCTGACGACACAAACTTTTCATTCAAACAAAAAGAAACACAGTGTTATTTTGTTAGGTATTTTGCAGAGAATTTTAATAATTGTATGAAGAATACTATTAGTCTAATATTATACTTGAAAGAACTATAAATGAGGTCCCAGCTCCAACAACAGCTCTTCCTGTGAGCCTCAACAAATTACAATTTAACTGCCTATTACGATACCTAATCTAAGAATTGTTCCTTCCATTTATTAAAAAAAACCCCAAACTTGAAGAAACCCCTATGCAAACAGCTCACATATAAATGAAGAATTATCCAATAAGTCATACATTATATATGTCACATTTTTAAATATTTTTGGATATGTGACAGCACTAAAATGTCCCCCAACTGTTCAATTTTTCAGCATGACAGTAATGGTGACAGAAAAAAAGATAATTAAGAAGTTCTCTTATACCAATTAATTTTTAAGAGCCTTTAACCAAATCCTCCTTGCTTTACATAGGTAATAGCTAAATGTAATGACATTACAGCTGGAGTCTGCAGGATTAGAATGATTTGATAGTCTGTTTAATACGCATCTGTTACATGCAGCATTTATCCTGTATGAACGATAGTATTTTGTTGTTGCTGCCATTCAGTCCTCCCTGAGCTAAGCTAAATGGATGAATATAAGAAAAGTTAAATAAACCTCTATTTTATATTAGCGGGGAAAAAAAAAACAAAAAAACCTGGAACTACAGCTCCAGATATCTCAGGAGTGAGAAACAGAAGTCTTCACTCTGTTTTCAAGGTCAGTTAACACTACCAGTCATTCAAAGTTCACAAAGCTGTATTTGGTTTCTGAAACACACTTAACATTTCCTCTCTGTTACAGAAGAAGAAACAGTGATTTTAATACACATGCTCAAATAAGTATATGGTATGCAAGTAAAGAACAGAGTTGGAATCTTCTGAGAATACATATAAATATAAGGATTACTATCAGAGATGCATTATATACCAAAAAGTCCTTGCGTAGTCCTTCTGCTGTTCACCACTGGTACTGATTATTGCCATTGTCTCCTTACCTACAGACCAAAGGAGCTTTCACCCATTTAAATCATACATCTTCCTATACAAGAAATGCTTATGGTTTCTTTCTTATGCACTGTACTTACCCAATCCTTTAGGAGTAATGCCACTGCTATCAGCAGGATTAACCACCCAGTAGTAGTATTTCAGTGTGTGCATTAGCTGCAGCACTGTTCCTACTCTGCGTATGGTGTTATAAATCGTAGCAGTTCCAATGAATTCAGCTGATAAATAGGTATACAAAGACAGCTGCACCTGGAGAATGAAACAGTTACCCACGTAAATGTATATTAATAAGATTAATTTTTAGGGCTTTTTTAGGATTTACTTTGGATATTATATAGAAAACTAAAAACTAATAAAACAACTTTACTTAGAGTGGGGATAGGACGGATCTGGAATGACCTTCAGAAGTCCCTTCCAAGCAAAACTTTCTCTGATTTATGTCACAATAAACATACTGGATTGTGTTTCTGTTTTGTTTTGGTTTTTTTATATATATATACAAAAAGTATATATTATCAGAATTTACGACCATTCCACTTTTCACTTTGGTCCACATTCCTCAACTGGGATTATTTAGAAAAACAACTAATTCGATATCACCAGAAATGTACAACAACTTTCTATAGCTTTTATCAAATTTAAATACATAGTTTAAATTAAAATGAAAGTTTATGTGAATAGGTAAAAAAAAAAAAAAGATATATATATCCCACTGTTTACTGCCAATTAAAAATATATACTTTCATGCTTTTCTTTAGGAAAACGGTTTCAGCAGCAACTGAAAAAGGGCTGGATTTTTAGAAACAGTCATTTGATAGAATTTAAAAAAATCTTGGGCAAGAATGTAAATGCTTTTAGAAACCTATACAGATTTTGGAGAATATAGTTAAGCAGGATATAGATCTCATGATTTAAAAAATATTTTTATTACTATATTTAAAAATAATAACCTAAGTATCATGGTGTAAAAGAATATCTGTGGGATAGTTGTACAATCATTCAACAGTACAAATACCTTGGCAGGGGTATGGATCCAGATTGCAGGATTAAAAAGGATGTGATCACATAATTGCTTTAGTAGAGGTGCTCCATGAGACAATCCATCCAAATATTTCGCAAATGACAAAAATTGTTCCAGAACTGCTCTAGTTATATGAACTCTAGATGACTGGGGAAAAACAATCAGAAAGAATAAAGAGAAAGAAGATAAAGAAAAACCTTCTTCCATACTATACTCACAGCAGAAAGATGAAGGGATATTTTCATCAGGTTTATCTTTACTAAATATATGCAACCTCTTATGTTTTTATGTCATTGACTATGAAAGGAAAGTAAGAAAAAATATCAGCCACTTATACATTCCAGTAATATTGACAGTCTTTCCAATGGCTAAATTCAACAGGTTAAATCCTTTTATTTTGTTTTTGTTTTGTCTTACTAAAATCCAGTCAAGATTTTCTATTTTACAGCACAGTGCCTTGAGAACTTTGTCTGAAGTAATTAACTCTTTTTCAGTTAAATTATGTGTTTTACTGAAATTGGGTGTTTCGGTATGTAAATACACATTACTGGTAAACTTGCTTTTGTTTCTTAAATATGAGTAGGTATTTGAAGGATTTGTGTTCAAGGTTTCCTCAAATTTCAAGAGACTCCTTTAGTTTCAGAGCATGTGCTACAAATCACTGTTGAGAGCTGCTCCTATGCAATAACACAGCATGTGAACTTTGTCAAACTTCTTTACATAAGTTAACAAATGGAACTAATAAGAAAAAACACTACACATCCTTCTCTTTGCCTTCTCTAAAAAATGTTCCAATTACTTTTATTGCTGTAAGTACAATCTGGGAACATGCAGATCTGTTATGTTTTGAAGTTAAGTCCATTTGTCAGTAACACAAGTTCAGCCTGGATGCTGAGTTTCCTTTGGCTTGTACATCCCAATTCACAATAAATAGTCTGCAACTAATAAGAACAAATATGTTATTTTGTAGTTAAAGTCAGGGGTAAAAAAAAAAAAGGTGTGGGGGGGAGGAAGCTGTCTCTCCTCCCTGAAGCATTTGATCAAATGCAAATGAACAACAGATAATTTACAAATAGTAAAACTGAGCCTAGCTACAAAACTAAAGGATTTTCTCCTGCCATGTGTGCCAACTGAACATAAGACCATACTTAAAAAATAAAATACATCCTTTTGAAAAACTGCAGCTAAGGAGAATACAGCATATACTGTAAAAATTATGTTGTGACAGAAATCAATCAAAATCCTTTAAATATTCACATACCCTGAGTTTAATCATTGTAGCAGGTGTTAATTAGAATACTATGCAAACTTTTATTTTTTTAAAATTTCATGTACAACGTTCTAAATATATGTATTCAATATGTGTAAACCACAGTGTTTTATTCAAGAGAAAGGGACTCCAAAGGGCTCACCAGCCTGCCACTGTATAACTCACAGACCTGGAGGTAGCAGCTTTATAAATTAATTCTGGTTATGTTACAAGAAAACATAGCATTGAAAAAAACCTCACCATAGACTAGCTCTTTGACGTTCTAAATCACACCTGCTTAGTATAAAAAACATAGAAGCATAGAAAATTGTCTACTTTTAGGTATTACTTCAGGGAAGGTAAAGTCTTTCTACTATAAGAATGTATTTCCTTAGCTGAAAACAACATAGGAAGTAGAATGAGAGAAATTATTTATCATCCTTTTTCAGAATTCAGTACATGTTTAAAGGTGACATTATAGTTATTTAATTTCACCATTGGACAACAGAAAGCTCTGGTCATAACTTCTCAAAGGATTGCAATACTTACCTCATGCTAATGAAATATACAGTAGCAGATATTAAATAATATCAGAATAATGAGATTTAACCATAAAAGTATTAATATCCTAGTACAGTAGTTTGGTTTCAGACTATTAAAGTACAATAATGACAGGGCTTAGGGCCAGAAGGCAGTAATGCTCCTCAGAAAAGCATCTGAACTGAACCTCAGTTTTGTGATAACTGCTCATCATGTCTGAAAACAAGCAAGTAAAGGGAAAGTCCCTTGGTTTTGTTGAAATGAAAACATTTTACAGTTTCCTTCTGCAAAGGACAGGACAACAATTTCAACAATTTCAGAACTAAGCCACAGAGGGTTATCTTAGTTTTTACTACCACATACAAAAAAAAATAATTTTAAACTTAATTTATGACACATCTGTCTTCTACAAACTGGAAAAAAAAGAACTTTCCTTAATAAGAGTTTGGGGGACAGAGTGCAGAAACACAAATGAATATATTAAAGTGATTCACAAACAGATCTAAAGTAAAACTAAAATTAGACAAACTGGATCAACTTCAGAAAATTGACCCTTTGAATATTGACATATAAGAGGATAAGGAAGATTAAAAGAATACTGTAGACAACTTGTAAGTATTACAAATCAAAAATACCTTTATCACAAATAAATTCTATTCCACCAGTCCATTGAGCTAAGTGACTGAAAATATGACACGGATTGTAGAAATACTAAGAACAAAGATAAAATAACCCCTCCAAACATACCTTTTCAAGGAGGTAGCCAATGACTAGAAAGCCTTTTCCACCAAGCATTTGTTCTTGCATGGCTACTGAACTCTTAAGAAGTTCAACCAAGAAAGCCAATAGCGTGGCACTGCATGTAAAGAAGAATTTTTTCAGATTACATTTGTAGAAGAATTGATCTGTTATATTCTTAATATTCACTAGCTATTAAGTGAACAGATAGAGGCTTAAAGTGGTGAAAATTCCTTGAGATAATACAAATCTTACTTTTTATGGCAATTTTTTGTCCCAATAATTGCTCACATATTACAACAGTATAAGTGGGGATTCATATTCAATTAGAAGTGCAAAATCATTTTGTCACCTCTCCTGATTTGACCAGGACTATCCCAAGTTTTACACATTCAGTCCTCTAACTTGGAAGAGGCAGGAGATGATGAGTGGGATCCAGATGACAGTGCCAGAATGATGCAGGCAGGGGCTGTGACAATCTTTTATCATCCAGAGAAACTATGTGAAACAGCAAAATTTGTAGCCACCAGGTACATCATCATCCCCCATTTTGAGTCCCTAGAGTCACTACTACCATAGAAATAAGGCATAAAATGGCTGAACATGCATGTGGACAATGATGCCCACCACAAACCACAGTGGAACTGCAGCAGGGTGGAGAACCTTCCTTATACATTCTCCAGACAAAGCATGAGAATAATATCTAGGCCTGAGAAAATAAAGGCTAAGAATTACTTTCATCCAGTTAGGAAAGCACAGAGAGACTACAGAGGCCATGAGGAAATTTCCCAGCAGCCCATCTCAGCAGTTTCTGTAAGTGAGGTGTTCAGAAAGCACAGGGAGAAGGAAAAAAAGTGTTCAAAAAAGGTTACTGTTTAGAAACAGAAAAGATATTAAATACTTCAGGGGGCAGACTCAACAAGAAAGTGAAACTAGGTTATGAAAATCAACAGAAGAAACATAACAAGACATGGTGGGAGAAAAATCACAATTAATTCTTGGGTGGTGGGAGGGAAACAAAAATACTCTCATCTGTTGCTGAATAACTCAGAGGAAAGGAAGAAAGAAAGAAAAAAACAACTACATTTATGACAGAAAGATAATATTTTAAATTATTTTTCAAACATAACAAAAATGTAGATGACAGAATGCATTGTATTGCATATACAATGCATATAAAAAGTCGCATACTTTCTAAAAATAAAATAGGTATTACAATTCCTAGCTGTATGGACAATTATTTGCAACCATGAAGGTTTTCACACTGGTGGTAGGCACAGGCAAGGGTGAAAACTGTGGCTGTTGCAGCTATGAAAAAGTGAATTTAAGAAAATGTTCAACCTGCATTTTATAGATTTCAATTTTACTGATAGTATATATTCAGGTAAAGGTTTGCTTGCTCCCCAAATACAGTATTTTACCTTAAAGAAATGTTGAGATTGGTGAATCCATCACAGCACCAACCAATAGGAAATGTGCTGAGGAAACAAAATGTATTCTATTTGGTGAGCAAGGCTGCCATGCGAAAATTACACCATGAAGGCAAAGTCCATGCTATGAACATGAAATAATGCCTTGTTTTGCTTCATTGTTGAATGGTCACAATACAGTCTAAGATCACATACAGAATGCTCCACAGAGTGTCAGCAGCAAAAAAACACAGATAATATCCATTTACAGTACTTCAAAGCTTGTATCAGCCCATCAACCTGTCAAATCAATTTCAAAGTAGGTTGTATGCATCTATCTTTTCTTACCCCGAGAGTTTCTACTGTATTTGTCATCTAAAATAAGATACTCATCATTTTTACTACATGACAATTTATAAGAAGCTCATGTAATGGCTTGAAGATTTACATTAAAAAAAATAACAGTTTAAAGAAAATTCCATATAGATGGTGTTTATTATAATCCTTCATAAGTAATCTTATGATTTAGGAAGATAACCCATTATGCATAAAGTTCAGAAATTGTATACAGCTTTGCAGGATTAGGACCTAAATTAAAATAATAAATATTATTAATATTATATTGAAAACAAACCAAAAAATCTTAAAATGGATGAACAGGGCACCAGACTTAAGTTTAAAATATTCTACTTCCACTTGTCCAGGTGATTTATCAACCCCCTTCTCTTTGTATGACAGTTTATTTGTCCATTATAAGAAACTAGAAGTAAACTCATGGGTTGGAGTTATTCTTACCTCATATTAATACAATCTCCAAGCAAATACTAGAAACCCTGATAGGACTCCAAATACAAGTTATAAGTCAAATCAACACCCTAAAAATAAACATTTTTCTGTCTTTTCAAGTGCACATAAAACACATCAGTCAACACAGAAATAAAAAGTGGCAAGTTGCTACTTAATCATGCCACAAACACTGAAACATACAAGCTGGTTCTGTGCAAGACAGACTGAACCAATAAAGGTTACTGATTCAGATACAGATAGAGCCCAAATATAACTTTTTACATATTAACAATCTTTATGCAGAGTATGGTTGAACTGATTAATTCTGCCTGCCCACATTAACTCTGCAAAGAACTACCTTAGCTTTACAAAGTGATGTCAACGTTTCTAGTTCCAGGAAAACTTACTAATTCAGCCCATACTTTTGTGAATGAGATATACCTTTCCCTAAGTCCAAAGTGGCTTTTAACATCTATCAAACCAGACACATAAAGACCTGAAAAGCCAGCTTTGCAGAGTCAGCTCAGGTCTGCAAGCAGTAACTCCATCTTCTAATTCGTCTGCACTATCCAAGATTGCCATTAAAGTAGAGTTGACTGGAGTATATGGTAATTCAAATCTTGGGATAGCACATGTGAATACATCATTACACTTTACACCTTCAAGCACATAAAAATTCCAAGTACTAGAAAAAGCAGATGTTAAGGAGGACCACCTGGCAGTCACACAGAGGCACAATGAAATTTGAGCTGAATATTGTATAGGACCACATTATTTATTAATGTTAGCACCATAACTAAGTGTAACTAGTAGTCTGTGCACATCACCACACAGGAAATCAACTAATTAAAAGATCTATAATCATTTACATATTTCAACTAACACTAAATTAGACAAAATTATTATGTCTTCTGAAAATATAATTTATTGCAGGACAAATTTTTTCCAGCACTTTTCCATTCCTAAGAAGGAGGAAAAAAAAGAGGTTGCAGATCAAAACATGAAGAAAGATACTGGTTTTCCAATGGTTATGATATTGCTTACTCTGTAACTAGCATATTGTAGAGAAAGTATGTTTCTGAATACTCTTAAGTTAAAAACTGAAGATTAAATACAGTGTTCTCAGCATACACTGTCTGACTGGAAAATGTTCTTAAGGATGCTCTCATGTCTATATGTATTTATTATATTTGTGAAGTGCATACCTTTACAATTCAGGCACTTATGACTCATATTGTGAAGCTACAAATACCACCTAGCTTATTTCATTCATCCAAAGATGTATATATAAAATAACTTTTCAATAGTTCATAATTATTTTTCAACATTACAATGCTTCAACATCACAATCCTCAGACAAGAGTCAGACAATATTACCTAAATAAAAAATATACTACAGATATTCACAAAAACAATGGTCTCTGTAGAATTCTAAAATAACACTTCCTTCTTCATTAAAAAAAGGAATAACGACACACACAAAAATACTTATTTTTCACTGCCCATTTAGAGGTTACAAAGTATTTATGCTATGACAATCATTGAACAAGAAAAAGTCACCTTTGTCAAATTCTAAACTGACTGGTAGTTCCCCCTAAGCAGTTACTGATGTTTCGTGGAAGTAAAATACAGGAAAATTTGAACTATTCTTAAGAAATTCATTTCTATTACTTGCAAATGAAGCATCCTATTAGGAACATCAGTCATATATCCAAATAACTCAAATGACAAAGGTTTTGGAGACACAAAGAAAATCTCAGAAATCAAACCTAGGATAAAAGCAAATTATTTTTTTTCTTTTTGTGTGTGGTGTGTTGGGTTTTTTTTGTTGACTTTTTAAAAATCACTACATAGATCAAGTTCTCTAGTCTATTCTTTCCCAATATAATTTTCTCTGAAAAATTTACCTTAATTACCTTAAGTTTCTTGATTGTATATTACAAAGTTATTTGGATTGTGCTTTACAAAAGGCATTTTTAACTACAGTTGGTATGTAGCTATAAAGATCTAAGTACGTTGATTAATAATAGATAAGTTCACTTAAAGATGTGATGTAAAAGAGAATGATGCATGTGTTCATAATTCCATGTGTATTTCCATCCTCTCCAAAATAACACAAAACTGTTAATAAGATAATTTTTGAAAACTAATCTTACTGTGTACAGATAAAGTGGTATTAAGGAAACTCATACAACAATTGATATTTTTAAATAAGCAAAAAAAATCCTAAGGTACTTGCCCATTCAATTAAAAATGCAATACTGGCTCTATTGAGATAAATTATTACTACTATTGTGATCATCATTATTACTACTACTAAACCTCATTTGCTGGCTGCCCATTACATCTCATTGTTAGTGTACAGTTTTAAATGAGTGGACGATTCATTAAATAAATTGCTACTTCTTCAAAATATTTACTACATTTCATAGTATGGAGTTAGAAATCCTCAGAGAGAAGCACTACCAATATATTAGCAATATATTTTGATGCACAGAAGATGCAAGATGATCTCTGTTCCTTCAGAAAGAAAACTAAAGCACAAAGGGCAAGAATGGATTTCAGGAACTGTTTTGACTGCACTTATAATACAGGTTAGGAATACTAAAAGGGATTTTCATCCAGGTATATTCACTGCTAAAGCATGAAATTGAACACTTGTGTATGTCTTAAGGCAGTCAACTGCTCTTCCACTACATTACTAACTACTCATGTTTATGCAGTCATGGCCACAAAAGCCTGTGAAAAGCCTAAAAGCCAAGAAGGGCTCCCCTGACCTGGCTGGAGGTTAAGATAAACTCAGAGCAGAACAGATGCAGGCAGATGGTGGGAATGGACAGTCCCCACAAGCTATGGCTGTGGCAGCTCTCTAAGCTTCCTTAGCTTCCACTTCTTTCTGTAAGTTTGCTGGACAGATGGGGGA